TCCCTGGGAACAGCTTACCCTGGGGAGACAAGGAAGGAACTTAGTTCCTATGGCTGCCCACTTTGACACGCCCCTCTTCCTAGCGACACACACACACACATACACACACACACACACACACACACACACACACACACACTTCCAGGGGGTAGCACAGTGCACACTTCCACCAGGAGGCTACTCCTGTATTCTCATCGGCAGCTTCCTATCCAGCTTCCTATCCCATAGTATCACCCCGTGTTCCATATGCTTATGCCACTGGACCACAGTCTTACACATTGTCTGCCTCAGGAGCTGGCAGGCGACTAAGGAGACCCAGCTCCAGTCCTCCCTGACCTCCCAGATCCACAGGAAGATGAATGAGGCCACAGGGAGAGAAACCGCACTCAACACAGCCATTCTTTGGCCACACAAGCAAAGCCAGGTCTCCCCATGGACTTGCCTCATGGCGGGGGGGGGGCACACTGACCTCACTGGCTTTGACTAGGCTCCCTGGGAAGTCCTCCATGTGGCTTGCTGACAACTGACTGGTAAATTATTTTCTGCTTCAGTGGCAGGGCTAGTCTGGTTGCTGGCCTCTCCAGAGGCCTAGGCAGAGGGGTGGCTGCCTCTAGATCCTGCAAGCCAAGCTCCTGCCTGGCCTTCAACATCCTTGACTTGAGTCCTGCCCTGACCTCTGATAACATATAGCAGACCAAGGGGTGGCAGAGCCCCCTTTTGCCTTTCAAAGATCTGCAGCCTGGGAGAAGGTCAGAGTCTGCCAGCATCTATTACAACAGTGCTCAGGCGTCAGGGCACAAAGCAGCCCCAGTTGGAGACCTCAGTGGACCCCAGAGGTGCTTATGGCACTTTCTGGATTACAAGTATTTTGCATTGAGTACACAGTCACCACAGTGAGCATCAGGGAACACTCTGGAGTGACCCATCTGGATAGCCTCTCATCAAGGCCCCGAACATGAGAACAGGCTGGAAGGAACTAAAGTGACAGATAATGCCTCATGTTTTAGCCTTGCAGGGCCATTTTGGAGACCAGAGGTGGCATCACCACAACAGGATGAGTTGAACCCTTGCCTGTACCTCAGGTAAACATCCTTTCACCATCATGGTCTTGATGTTCCAACTCATGATGTTAACGATGCATTTCCAAGACAAAGGGACAGGAGGAGCAGAAGAGGGGTCACCAAGCCAATATCCTCACCCAGCTCTGCAGGGTACCTCATCATCAAAACTGAAAGCTAGCAAGCCAAATGGGATCTCACATTAACTAGTAACTTCATTTATTTTGGGGATGAAGTCTTGCTAGCCTGAGCTGACCTGGAACTTGATATGTAGACCAGGCTGGACTTGAACTCATAAAGATCTACCTACCTCTGCTTCCATAGTGCTGGGATTAAAAGTGTGCACCACTACACCCAGTTTAACAGCTAAATTAAAGCAAAACAATTGTAAAATGCTCACACAACAGTGCTCTCCTATCTAATGGGGTGCCCAGGGGCCCCCAAGCCAAGAGGAAGGACATCTTTCATATGTCTTTCCTAGGTCACCTAGCTACCATGACAGCCAGATGACTGAATGAGATGTGGGCCCATTGGCAGCCTCTCTAGGATATACCTAGGGGCATGATTCCATCTCCCAAGCCACAAACAAAGACAAGTGGCCACAGTTCTGTAAGTTTTGCTTGCATTCTAGTGGTTCCCATTTCTCCTGGAAATGAAACCTACCAGCTCCTAGATCCACGCTGTGCTTGGTTTCATAAGATACTGATATTGAGGCAGACAAGGAAAGGGCAAATGGGAATTCTCTGTTCATTCTCTTTCAAACTGAAAACCAAAGTGCACTAAGACTAAGCCCACAGGTTCCGCCTCCATCATGAGGTGCCTGGGCTTCTTATCTTTGTTCTTGTTCTCCCATCCAGGAGGGAAGAGACTAGGGCAGGGAGCTCTGGCCTTCCCTTCAAGAGGGGAAAAGACAGGATGGAAGAGCCCAGACAAGGCCTGGGATATGAGGTTCAAGGAAGGCAGGGCAGCCTGCCACACTTCATACTGAAGAGTGACTGTGCAGCTGGCTAAGCCACAGTGGCCTGGTCCCTTCTAGGTTCACACACAGAAAACCCTGATGTCGCTGCCTTGTATCTACCAAAGCGGAACTGAGTCTGCAAGGCGCATGAGCCTGCTTCCAGCTTCACCTACAACCACAAGCCTTTAAGCCAAAGACAAAGGCACTCCCCACTCTCCGAGGGCTGAGAGCAAAACTGATTCCTTAAAGTGCTCTCGGAAGGCTCTGCTTCAAATATTTATGGAGGCTGTGAAGTGGCCCCAGAGAGCGAGTGGCCCTGTCAACTTCACGCCTGCTGCAGTGATTTATCAGCTTGGGAATTGCTACAGGCGCTCTGCCTGAGTACTTGGTACAAAGCCAGCCTCCTCCAGGAGTTGCAGAGTGGCTAGGAGGGGAGGGTGGCAGATTTTTGCCTCTGACCCTCAGACAGGGTGAGGAAAGCTCTGGGTCCCCACTACTGGGCTGAACCCAAAGACAGGGACAGCTGGAGAAGAGAAAACAAAAGTCCGTCCCTGTGTCCCCTGATTATGGGACTGCAGATCACACCTCTTATTCAAGGAAGATATGGCAATGACAATTAATTCTTACCAAGCACTTACCATGCTGGCATCAAACATCTTCCCACGTGCTTACTTCCTCCTATGACAGTTCTAAGAAGATATCATCACCAAGTGACAGTCAAGGAAATTGAGACGGGGGCCAGTTGGGTTGTCACACCTCGCCACTGAGCAAGTGCTGACATGCAGGTACTGGGCTGGTGGCAGAGCGGAAGCAAAGGCCTTTGTTCTCCATGGCAGGAGAAGGTGCCCTTACACTGAAAGGCCCTGTGTCTGCTGCATGGTAGCCTCATGCCAGTGTCCCCATGGCCCTCCAAGTGGGCACCACACCCCCTGCCCTGAATCCTCTCCACGAGCTTGCCTCAGGGCTCTGTACAATGGGACAGGCCAAGCATTTTTGATGACGCCAGACTTCTTATGTAACTAATAAGTGGCTATGAAGCTGCTAACTCCACATGAGACCATGCTGTTTCATCCTCTACCCTGTCTACAAGCCCTCCATCAGCCACTCCTGGGCACTGGACAGTCCACATCAGCATCTCGCCTCTGAAGACAAGTTCCCTTCCAGAACTCACAGGAAGGTCCAGCTACAGGAGCACAGCAGCAGGAAGCTCTTTGCCCCTCCAGCATCCCTCCCCCAGATTGGCTATGAGTCTGCCTTGCAGCCTGACCAGCAGACTAGACCCATCCCTCCATCTCCCAGGGATGGGATAGGGAGCATCCACAGAGATACACTGTCAGGCCTGAGCCATCTGCCTCTTAAACTTCCTGCCTTTCCTTATAGGCAAAGGAAATGTGATGTTGCTATGGGGTCCCTGTGAAGATGGCTACTCCGTGTGGGACTCCTCCTCCCTTCACAGTCTCTGCTCTGAGTTCCCCTCCCCCCCGCCCCATGCTCCAGCCATGTTCATTCATGTGAACACCTACCTAGCTTGCAGTTGCTCAACCTGCTCCATAGACAGACAACAAAGGCCTCTGTTGCCTGTGAATGCCTACAAGTTGAGGAGGTCACATGTGACAGGTCAGGGCAAGGTGAGTCAGAGGTGGTTTTCCCCAGGAGATGGAACCTGCACCGGTAACTGGCAGTGAAGCCACCAGGCAGAAAGTTGATGAAGGCCATTAAGCAAAGCCAACACTTGTGAATGCCTCTCCTGGGCTGAACACTAACAAATACTTCATAGATGTGGGGTCATCGAATCATCGTACAAGTCTGATGTGCAAATGTATTGTCTTCATGCTTAAGATAAAATTTAATGTAGGTGGTGAGGAAGGTGAGGCATCACAAGAATGAAAGGTGGAAAAGAATGGATCTTATGCTGAGATGCAGTGGAGGAGGGCTGCTTTCTCTGCTCTTCTGTTGGTTTGTGAGACCTATGGGTCTCTGAGAACACAGGGTGCTGCCACACTGGCTTTCCTTCTCATGACAGCATCAGGCGATGTCACCCCATTTTATACGGAAGGAGACTTAACACACAAACGGTGAAAGGCTTTGCCCGGCATCACACTGATTTAACAAGGACAGGGCTGGGCTTTGAACTCAGGTCAGCCAGGACCCCACTTTAACAAGTTAAATGGTTGTCTGCAGCCAGTGTCCATTGAAAACTGATTCAGATGCTTCGTAGTAGAAACAACTGGAAAGTCTTGACAAAAGGTAAAAAAATGAAAATAAAAATGTCATCTAGGATCTGCAATGGACCAAGGCTGTGTGGGACTAAAATTGACAGCAGGGGTATGGGCCAGGAAGTCCAGTGGGAGTCAGTGGGCTTCCCCACAGTGGCAGTCTATGGGAGCTGTGAGGGCATGATGCTAGACAGGGCTCTCATAGGCTGTGGTACACCAGGAAGCATGGGAGAGGACTTGAAGGACCCTGCAGGTTTTTGTGATCAGAAGTAAGTGTGAGCCAGAAGGCAGGCAGAGCTGCTCTGACAGCGTCATCTTTGAATCAGCCTCGGATGAGGAAGGCACTGGCCAGGCCAGCCCATCAGAGCAAAGGAAGAAGGGACAGGGATCAGCAGAGGCCCATGTCTCCACACATGAAGGCCAGCACTCAAGACAAATAACAAGACACAGTGCAAGGCTTCACCAGAAACAAAGACTGAAAAGCAGATAGTGGACACTGGGTTACATTTTAGCTCTTAAACTGATGAACTTTGTTGGCATTGTCATGCATACATGTGTGTGTGTGTGTGAGTTTGTGTGTGTGTAAGAGAGAGAGAGAGCTCTGCATTTGTGTGTATGTGCTCATGTCTGTCTGTCTGTTTCTGTGTCTTTGTCTATGTCTTGTGTGTGTGTGTGTGTGTGTGTGTGTGTACACGAGCATGCACATCTGTGAGTGCATTCCACTTTCAACCAAAACATTTCAAAAATGAGGTGAAGGTGCGTGCTTACCTTTGGAGAACTGGGCAGAGCTGTCTGCGATGCCCACTCAGCCCACTCAGCCCCTGGAAGGGACCAGGACTCCACACCCCACAGGTTTTGAAGGATACTGTCCGTTTCAGAATTAAGCAGGTACTCCTGAGCTGGAAGAGAGAATCCTCAGTCAGGTCTCAGACTAGGCATCCATCTATAAAACTGACAGGTCCTAAACTTTACCATAATGTTTCCACTACCTTGTTATTCACGATGCTCCCTGATGCCCATCCCCGTGACAAAGGCTCTCTTGGTGCCTTTGAATTCTCCTAGCACCACACTAAGTAATGACATCATCATGGTCTTGGGGCACCACAGACCATTGCCTACCTCCCTAATTCCCTGCTAGCTGACAGCCCCTCCAGGGTGGGGCTATCCCTGTTCATGTTCCCTCTGCTAGATCCCACACCTTGTATGCACCTCCTGCAGGGGGCGCCAGGCAGCCTCCAGGAACCTAGTATAAATAGCCCCATTAATCACAAGCATTTCCTTCTTCCACAGATGAGAAGGCTGAGCTCAGTGCTAGGTCCTTCTGAGTGCAACGTTAACTAACCCCCAGAACCCCTGCCAGTCCCACATCTGTAAAACAGCCCCACACTGCTAGTAAGTGGCACTTATGGACTTAAGGCCCGAGGAGAGAAGAGCGTATTCGGTCACCTGCCCCTTAATTTCTCTATTACAATAAAGACAACATGACAACAACAACAAATCACTCATGTCCCTCTCTCTGAGCAGCCACAGTTAATATTTAGCTCATCTCTTAGCCTGCCTTGCTGACCACATGTGGATGTGTGTGCATGATGCAGCTGACAGTATCCAACACCCCGTGTCCTACCATCTTTGAATCTAAGGCAATATCATCACATTGCCCTATGACATGACTTTCTCCACCACCTTAGTGGCTGTATTACATTCCACAGAGGACATGGGTTAGCTCCCAACACTGAGGTCAATGGGTGAACACGCCTGTCCCCTGAGCTTGTTTCTAATATTATATGGGAATTGCTTATATGAGTTCCCATATGAGTTCAGGGTGGGAATGGATATAATAGTTCATAATGAAGAACAGAGAGGAGGAATTTTAGATGCTTCCTTCTTTCCAGTGTGTTCTGACACTACGAGGTGGGAAGGTGGGGCTGAGCATCAGGAGAGATTGAAATAGGAAGTCCCCTTAATGGCACAAACTCAACACTGGGCAGTTTGCACCCGGCTAACCTGGCCCTGACTTTTGGTGAGCACACAGAAATGTTTCTGGCAGGTGCACTGACCTCCTTTTCTGGCTGTCGTCCCTTTGGAGCCCACATCCAGGTGGCAGACTGTCTGCAAGAAAAGACAGTTCAGTGGGTCTACTGTCTAGAGGAGGGTGTGAAGGTCCCAGAGGACAGGAGTGAGACTTGCTGCCCTGTGCAGCTGAGCTAGGTCCGTGCAGGAAGGTAGGCGTGGTGATGTGTCACCCATATTCCGTCCTCAGCCACCTTACAGGTGACCCTGGGCCAGGTTTGTTCAAGTACCACACAACACACCAGGTAGGAAGAGCCATCTACTATATCTTCAAGGCAGGTTGGAGCCTGGATCATGCATGTGAGGCAGAGCCCTTGTGCGGTGGCCCTGTGACATCTTCCCCATCTTTATGGTGATGCTTCAGGTACCACATAGCTCCTCATCATGCCTGGAAGCTCTGCTCTCTTTCCTTCACTGGCAAACCACTGTGTTATCGTCAAGACCTAATTCAAATGTCCTATCCCCTGGATCATCCTCCTTCCTACCATAGTTCAACCTCCTGCCTTACTACAGGCCCTGACCAGGATCTATGTGACAACTGGGCTTTATGACAGATCACGGAATGGACTGACCAAGACATTAACTGGTAACCAAAGGTCTGGACTTTACTTAGCTGTCCTCTGGTCACAGCTCATTCCTCCCTACCTTTCTGGAGCCTTGTGCTCCAGGCATGGGATGCCTGCCGTCCTGCTGTACTTAGGTGTATATAGATGACCCTGTCCTGATTTCACTGTCATTGCTGTGACAAGTACATTGATAAAAAGTAACAGGGAGAAGAAAGGTTTATTTCAGCTTACAATCCCAAATTACAGTCCATCAGCTTGGAGAAACCAAGACAGGAACTTAGTTAGGAGCCACTAATGTGGCATCCGCAGTTGTGAGCCAAGAGAATAAACGCATGCTTGCTTGCTCTCAGCTAGACTACTCCTCTCTTCTGCTATTCCAGACAGCTGCCTGCGCATGTCCCTGTGTCTTTGTAGTGAGCACTGCCAAGGCCCTAACTTTCCCAAGGAACTGAAACCTCAGTGATGCTGGATGGTGCCTATCATGGTCTAAATGAGAAATGTCTCCCATGGGCTCATGTATGTGAGTACTTGATCCCTAGTTGGTGGGACTGTTAGGGAAAGTTACAGAGCCTTGCTGGAGGGCATAAGTCACTTGGGACAGGATTTGGGGCTATAAATCCTAACCCCTCTTCCTGTTCTTTCTCCCTTTCCTTCCTGTGTGTGAATAAAAATGCTGATAAGCCAGCTTCTAGCTGACATTGATGCCATGATGTCACCATGTCTTCCCCTTCATGATAAACCCTATCTCCATGGAACTATGAACCAAAAAACCCTTTCTTTTGGTTGCTTTTCCTGGGATAGTTATCATAGCAGCAGAAAGTAACTATGACATAGTCTATAATAGATGCCATACTAGCTCTATGAGATGTCATTTGATCCTCAAAGAACCTCATGGGAGACAGAGAATCCTACTGACTCAAACACAGGTAGCTTTGAGAGGTGAGGGTCCAAGATCATGTTCTTTGTGATCAGAGCATCTTCATGTATAGGTGACCATGCCTAGATGTAAGCCAGACTAGGAGAGGATGGAAAAGGACACAGAGGAGCTGCCAGTCTCCCTGAGCCAGGCCCACACAAGATGAGCCAGAAGGATGAGTGGATTTAGGAGTGGGAATTCTACCTTGCACTTTTCCCCATCTCCATCTAAAATCCAGGAAATGTCGACACCTTGAACTCCCAGCCAGAACCACAGTGAAATCTGGCTGACCTGACACCCACTATCACCAGCCCAAGCCACCTGAGCTGGAGAAAAGGGGTCCCACTGGGAGACAACACATGGCCAGCATGTGTTGTTCTGGGGAAGCTGCACCCCAGAGAGGTGTGGTAATGACAGGGCACCATCAGTGCAGGTGCACTGGACTGGGCCCCACAGCCATGCACCAGACAGAAGAGCTGGCTGGGGATGGGCTCCACCCCTCTCCCAAATCCCAGCCAGAAAAGGCAACAGAGGTGCAACTCCACCGTTGCAATGATGGAGAGCGGAAGAGTGAGTGTCAGACCACACCCCTCTTCTGGGAAGAGAGGGTGCCAAACAGTCTGTACCCCTTGTCCAAGGCCTTGACAACTCTGGCTAGGGGATGTGGGAAGATTGAGAGAATTCATTTGTGAAGGACAGGCACATGACCATATATAAAACACGATGGCTGCCTGGGTGGGACCACCATGTCCCATTCCCATATTCTTTGTTTCCAAGGAAGGGCAGGTGGGCTCCTCAGGGTTTGAATTCTCCAGAGACATTTCCAGAAGGTTTCTGTCAGAAACACTCCATCTCCCTACTTGCCAGCCTGATACTGTGATACTAGCCCAAGCCTATCAGCAACTCCTTAGCCTCCAGGCAACCCTCTCGGCTGTCAGCCAAAGCCCAAAGGCCTCCATCAGGACTCCCATCTGTGTTCCCTGAAGGAACAGCTAGTGTCCATAAAACCAAGTGCTCTGGACCAGCTTCCAGTCCAGCTGCCAGCGGGAAGAGCTGCCACCACCACCACTGAAAAGCTCAGTGTCCCTCTCTAGCGACTCCTTGGCCACCAGGGTCGTCATGGCTCAGAACATACTGCAGGGAGGAAAAGAAGGTTACACAGTGCACAGCCAGCTCCTCAGACCCCAGCCTAGGGGCCTCGTCTAGGGGACTCTTGGGGGTTTGTTTCTCTGGAGTTGCTGGGATCCTGCACCAACACTCCACCCTCCCATTCCTGGGAGCTAATGAAGCCAGTGCAAACGCCATGGACTCCAGTCAGCCACTCCATCTGCGTGCCTGCTCTTAGGATCTGCCGGGGAGCCAGGAAAAGCATCCTTGGAATATTCTTAGTCTTCACAACACATCACAGCAGTTTTCACTCCTTATGCTAGAAGAGACCCACACATTGAAGACTGGCTTTCCTGTGACAAGAGGGACTTCCTTGGTGTATGCCAGACCCAAGCTATGACCAGCAACTACTCCCCACCTACCCACTGTGGTAGCCGCTGCTGGGGCTGTGTTGTGTGCAGACTCACACTGTCAGCTCCAAGTCCCCCTCCACTGCATAGGAGAGTTACTCAGCACGGAAAGGGCTGAGTTAGAAAACTCCATAGGTACGCAGGTCTCTCGGAGCCTCATTTTTTGCGTTCTGAATGGGGGAGAACTGTGTGATGCTTGTGGGATAATGGGCACTCTGCTAGTTTACAGCAAGCACTTAGAGCATCACCTACACACAGTCAGCAGACCACGTAAGTGTCCCCTCACAGGTCAAAGGGTCAGAGGGTGGTGGAGTGGAGATGTGACCCTGGACCTCCGATCTCAGTTTCTTACCTACAGGAGACAGATTGCTTGGTCTGGCCTCTCAGGGGCTGTACTGAGAGACTGCGCTCTTCCCCTTGTGCAGGTCAGAGAACAAATGTCAGAGGACTTGGGGCTACTCATGTGGACATCAGCCTCGGTCAGAGCCCTGCTGAGGCCAATTGCTCTCCTACCCTTTTGGCCAGCTTACTGTGTTTTGGATAACTTGGTTCTCCCCAAGGACCCCAGATCTATGGCTTAGGGTAACAGAAACTCTGTTAACACTCCTGGCCAGGAAATGGCACAGCAGGCTGATGCAGTTTCCAGAATGCAGTGCAGGGATGAACTCCGAATATCCAGTCAGATCACATTCAGAGTCACCTTCTATGCTGGTTGTTTTTGTTTTTGTTTCTTTGTTTGTTTGTTTTTTGCTTGTTTGTTTTCATTTTTATCAACTTGACACAAACCTACACACACCTACAAAGAAGGAATCTCAATTGAGCAGTTGCCTCTCTAAGACTAGACTGTGGCCATGACTGTGAGGAACTGTCTTGACTGTAGATGTGGGAGGGGCCAGCCCACTGTGGGCAGTGACATCCCCTAGTAGGTCCTGAGCTGTGTAAGGAAGCAAGCTGAGCATGAGTTAAAGAGCAACCCAGGAATCAGCTCCTCACCCCTACAGCCTCCTGCTTGTAGGTTCCTGCCCTGAGTTCCTGCCTTAGTTTCCCTGCCGATGGACTGTGATCCGTGAGACAAATAAGCCGTTGTCGTCCCCAAATTGCTTTTGGTCATAACATTTATCACAGCAACAAAGATGGGGATAATTTTGACTGAGTCAGGGGCAGTGCCAGGGCTGTGACACTGAATAGACAATGCAGTGTGGCCACCTGCAAGATCTACACCCCTGGCCAAGACGAGGCATCTCAGGCCCAGGGAATCTCCCCTCAGATGGAGGAGTTCAGCCTGGAACACATTAACACCCATTCCCCATCTCATACCCTATTGCATACCCCATGCCACACCCCATGCCACACCCCATCCCACACCCCCATTCCACTCTCCATTCTCCATCCCCACCTCATTCCCCATCCCATCCAACAACCCCATTTTTCTTCAGTTTGCCCATGACCTCCTGACAACAGATGATAATTGATCAACATATGAATACATCAGTGAATTTGCCTCTCTGGTAGCAGCAGGGGAAATGTGCCAACTTTTTTGGTGCATTCGTCCTAGAGTATGCCAGGCCATAAACTAGGTCTGTTTTTGATAGATAATTGATTATGTTCTGATTAACACATCAGTCCCTTTGAGTTTGGTTATTGGAAATCAGTCTGTCCCACACTGATGTTCATGTTGTAATCAATATCTCCTTGCTTTAGTCCTGTCTTGCTCATCTCAATTATTAGGCACCAGCTGTGTCCCAGAGACTGTCTTAATGGCTTCAGCTAGAGTCTATTCTCTCTTTCTCCCTTTTATGGACACAGAAACAGGAGCACTAGACATGGCATCTGGTGTTCTGGATTTGAGCTCTGGCCCTGCGTCAGGTCTCTACACCTTTTGACAGTCCCATGGCCTCCAGTGTCCACCTCCTCAGCTGCATGACAATTTGGACTAGAGACAACTACAGGCTGTGAGGGGCTGAGAAGGTCAACCCCTGTACAGCCAGGAGCAACCCCAAGGCCATCTTCCCGGAAAACAGCTCTCTGTTCACCTCCTGAGCTACATCCACCACATACCATCAGTAGCCTGGCTAGTCTCAGAGGCAGATCGGCTCAAACCAAGGAATATGGCCTCCTGTGTGGGGGCAGACACATCTGACACCCATGAGTGCCCCAGACTCAGCCAAGCAGATCCCTGGGAGCCTTCTCTCTGGGTCAGAAAAATTAGCACCCAGCACCATCGTCCACCACCAGCAGGACTTCCAAACATTCTGCCCTCAGTTTCTTCCTTTGTTGGCCTCCAGCAGATCCTCACACATTGTGTTCATTATCTTTGTGAGTGTGGTGCTGGGCATAGCTTCCAGGGTCTCATCCATGCCAGGCAAGAACTCTACCCACCCAGCTACATAACCAGCTGGTTCCTGATCTTTTATTTCAAGAAGTGTTCCCTGAGCAGATTCTATGTCAGACAATGGGGAGACAGACAGCTGGCGAGAGGCTCTGGCCTCACAGAGGGGTATCAACCACTGTTCTCTAACACACAGGAAAGATCCCTTGTGAGCACGCTATACCATGCATATCCGGGTGCAGTGGAAGGCAGAAGGGTGTGAGGGGGATTGTGGTAATTAGGTTTTAGACGAGTTACTAGGTTTAGGCACCTGCAATTGTGCCCTGAAGGCTTGGCAGGAGGCTGCCAGTGGACCAAACATCCTAGCAGAGGGGGCTATGTGTACAGAGCTCACGACGTATGGGTGACAAGAATGTCTGGTGACAACAGCATAATGGTGCTGATGTGACACGTTTATATCTGTTCCTAAGTCATAAGGATTTCAGAGGCAAAGGACCCCGGACCTTTTTACAGAACACAGGTGCCGCCTAGAGAAGGAACCAGATAGTGTCTTGGTCAATAGCCAAGACAGCACAGGGAGGCGGTGCTATGGGTGGGACCCACTCATGAGCCCTACAAGCAAGGACCAGGATGTCCATGGCAACTTACCTCTGGAGCTCCTGGGGTCAGGAAGGTGGCAGTGTACTCAGCCAGGGCCACATCATCAAGCATGTTCTGTGCCAGCTCAGAGAGAAGGCGGTTCTTGGGCTCTTGTCTCGGCAGCTCCTGCAGTAGTTGCTCAATTAGGCGGTTCCTCTCCTGACATTTGTGGACCAAGGAAGCCAGCTTGGCCTGGAATGTGGGGTGCATGGTAGAGGCTGAGCCAGCGCCCAAAGTAGTGCCCCATTCCTGGCATGATTCCCTCAGGGTGGTATGCTAATAGGCTCCAGGCTCACAGCAGTAGAGAGGCAAGAATACAGACTCAGGCTCTCCTGTGGCCCAGTGCTATGACTAAGCTCCTCTCCACACCTCAGCCTGCCAATACGTACAACGCACTGTGGGGGGACCAGGACCCACCTGCAGAGCCCCGCCTTTTCATTTCACTTCACACTGGTAAAGCACAAAGTCTTGGAGCTCTCCTTCAGATGAGAAGAACTTGGTGGAGGGCACACTCATGGTCCCAACTTTGTGGGAATCATTGCACTGTCCTGGCTATAGTGTCCCAGACGACATCTCAGAGTCTCAGCAGGAATGCTTAAGGTTTCTATTTTACAAACATGAAGACAGACAAGGAACTACGGGAGAGGAAGTGGTTCATATGCCCGATACAACGGCTGAGGAAACTGAGTCACAGCAGACGGCCGGAAATGGGTTCTGGGTGACTCAGAGTGTGGCTTAATCAAGGCTCCTCCTCGCCCACCTACACAGAGACCAGGACCTCGGGGTGAATCTCCGCCTCTTCCCCACAGCAGACAGACCCAGATGAAAGGTCACTTTATCCTGCTAGCAAACAGCATGTGGGACAAGGGCCATTCCTGCGTGTTCCCCAAACATAAGCACAAAGGGGCAGGTGGGGGACCTTCCTAAGGAAGCATGCACTCGAGTGTGTGTGCAGCAATGGGACAGTGGAGAAGACAGGAAGAGATGGAGAGAGAGGAGGGGGAAGAGAGAGAGAAAGGCAGAGGATGAGGAGAGGAAGGTGTGGGGTGGGAATGTGAGCACCAAGTGGTGGTCTCCAAAGCCCTCTATAGTCTCGGTTGCTCTGAGGAGAAAGTGGAACACAACATGTGGAGTCGGGACACATGCCATATAGAATGATCTGGAACACATGAGACGTCGGATGAAGAAAATAGATGGGGCGTTGTTCATGTGGGGACCTGGGTGACACCCGTCCCTGGCAATCTTGGATATTTTTATGCAATACTAAGCACTGTGACACGGCAGTGTGTTACCTTTAGAGGACTCGTGGCTAGGCGCTCTTCATGCTGCTGTTCCCGAAGCTCCTCAAGCTGAAAGGAGAGCGAGCTAGTGACTGAGTGGTGTGGGTTTGGTTAGGGGAAGGTGCAGAGTGCCGGTCTACTATCACTTTTCCCTGTGTGGAGATGGCGTGCCTAGGAACAGCCTTCCCTGATCCCCAACATGGAGCCACAGAGACACGATCTGGTGTGAAACTTGGGTCCCTGAACCAGACTTAATCCCGACCCAGCTGCCTACTGTGACCTCTGTGTCACTTATTCTCCCTGCTTAGTGTATTCTGTGCAGTGGGGTGCAGTGACTGCTAACCCCAAGCTGAGGGTCATAGTGAGGCTTCGGGATATAGGACACCTAGACCCAGGCATGGCATTCAGTCAGTGCCCAATAAACACTAGCTACTGTTACTGCTTGGGGCAACTTAGCAACATGGATTCTTTTCCTGGTGGGAGGCACATCCTAGTCCTCAGCTCTGGACTGGCCTCTGGTATCTAACACACAGCATGCAGCATGCAGGCTTTCCTGACCTGGCCTCAGTCCCTGTTGGGGAGGCAAGCTTGGGACCTGACACAGCAAAGGGGGGAGTGGGGAACAGGCACCAGGCCGTTGTGTGAGGTCACCTCAGACTTTCACACTAGTCCAGCATCTACCAAAGGATCCCAATTCTGTTCAGCCAGATTCTGTCTGAATTCTTGTCCCACACAATGTATTAAAATGGGAATTTTATAGCTATTCCCTCACACCCTTGTCTGCAGTGTCCTAAATAAACCCTCCATTCTTTCTGGGACCGCCTCTGACCCATCTTTTTTTTTTTTGTCAGCATCACACACTCACATGAATCAGGACGCACATGTACAGACACATGAAAACCTGTTACACAGAGAGTGTCGCACATCCCGTCTGGTAATTGAATAGAAAACCCTGGTAATCTTTGCAGGCAAACCAACTGGCCTCGTCCCTTTAGAATCTTGCACACCCTCTCTTCATGCGGCTGTGCTGTGGTTTGTTTCAGCAGATCTCTATTGATGGGAATATGGAATACTGGTCGGTTTCTTTGTTTTACAAACAGTATTTCTGTGCATCTGTTTGCTGTAACTTTCCAGAACTGGCCAAAGGGTAGATTCCAGCTTCAGGTGGACTAAGGTATTCACAGGGACTCTTTGTATACAGGCATGTATGCCCCCTGCCTCAGTTTGGGAAATAGCTTGAATGTGTCCCTGTGAAATGAGTACAGGACAGTTGCAATTAAGAAAGTGAATGCTCAGGCCTAGATGGGACATTTGTATCACACCTTCCCTCTCTTTCTAGACTTAGGGATCATCAAGGAAGAGGGGACAGAAAGAGTGTAAGAGCCAGAGTGATAGATGACTATAAGGAAACAGTGTTTAGGGACACAGTAGGCCACCTGCACATATGAATTTAGTGTTTGCATGGCGTGCACGAGACCCACCCAAGCTCAAGTCAGACTGAATCCCAGCATGGAGAAGGGAAGTGAGCATGGGATCCCACCACCAACCAAGGAGCTATTGACAACTGATGGGGCTACTGGAAGAGGGAGAGTCAGCTTCCCTTAAGAGTGCAGGCCCTGGTAAGTGGACCTCACTGTAGTAGGAGGCCAGGCTTTCAAAAGTGTGTGGGTAGCACAAACTGTACTTGATGGATTTAAAAAAGAGATACAAAGTTGGGTGAGTAGGAAAGGGAGGGGTGAATCTATGAGGACTTGGCAGAGGGGTGAATGTGATCAAAACACATGTATGAGATTATCAAAGAACTAATGATGTTTTTCAAGGCAGAGTTTCTCTGTGTAACCCTGGCTGTCCTGGAACTCCCTCTGTAGACCAGGCTGACCTTGAACTTAGAGAGCCACCTGCCTCTGCTTCCCGAGTACTGGGATTAAAGGCATGAGCCACCACCACCCAGCTAGAACTAATGATTTGTTAAGGGGATGAGAAGAGAGTAAGAAGAAAAACTGGGGATTAGGAGAAAGTATTTTTGAGTCATGTGTCTAGTCATTCCTTAATTATAACATTTGGGGGGCTCTTTAGGGTTTTCTGTATAAAAGCTTATGAACAAGTATCACAATTTCATTAAGATCAGTTCACAAACACAGCCGGCACTAAGGGCTGACACGTGATGAAAAACAAGGTGGGGACCCCTGTACATTTCACCAGGTTTCCTCCGATGAAAACATCTCACAAAGCCGCAGAGTCGGGAGGGATGACTGAAGTCAGCACAGCCCACCGCTGCAGCCAGGATTTCTGCCATTTTGTGGGAGCATGCCTGTCAAGGTCTGTGTGAGTTGAACCCTGTGTTGGTCTGAATGTTCTCCACAGCCACAGTCCTGAACTGGTCCACCTTGACACACACTCTCACTGGCCTTTTATAATCAAGTCCACACATTTCCTGCAGAGGAAGGACTGAATTTTCCTCGTGAAAGTGTTTGAATGTGCCTGTGCTGGCTGGTGTTATGTCAACGTGACACAGCTAGAGTTATCTGAGAAGAGAGAACCTCAATTGAGAAAATGCCTCTATAAGACCCAGCTGTAAGGCATTTTCTTGATTAGTGGTTGATGGGGGAGAGCCCAACCCATTACGGGTGGCACCATCCCCGAACAAGTGGTCTTGGGTTCTATAAAAAAGCAGGCTGAACAAGCCATGGGAAGCAAGTCAGGAAGCAGCACCCCTCCATGGCCTCTTCATCAGCTCCTGCCTCCAGGTCCCTGCCCTGTTTGAGTTCCTGCCCTGACTTCCTTCAATAATAAACAGCAACATGAAAGTGTAAGCCCAATAAATCCTTTCCTCCCCAACTTGGTTTTTGGTCATAGTGTTTCATCATAGCAATAAGAACTCTAACACAGTGCCTGATGCTTTTAAAAAAAGCCTACATACATATTGTTTTTAATGGAGTGCAGCTGGCTGGAAAGGCTCCAGATCCCTTGCCTTTCTCTGCACATCACTCTGTTCTTTAAATCTCTAGCCAACACCAGCAAGCTGTCGGTACTAGCTTCTTGAGGTCTGGAAACATTTGGAGGGTGAGAAGGGTTGGCCCAGCCTACCTTGCCCTTGAGCTTATCATGGAGACACACAGCCTCATCCCGAGCTGCCTGCATCTCCCGCAGGGCCCAGCCCTGGTCCCTGAGCTGGCACTGTAGAGTCCGCACCTGGTGGTGGAGCCGCTGTATGCACAGTTTTGGGTCTTCCTCAGAGGCAGCGGCCTTGGAGGTCTGGAGCTGAGAGAAGGAAATGTGGGTCACGTTCTCAGGTGATAACAGGCCATAGCTGACAGTCAGTACCTGTTCTATTGTCTGTCTGTCCTGTTTGTTTTTCTCACAATGGAAGGAAGAAAGGAATGAAGGTGAATGAGAGAGGGATGGAGGGAAGGATGCAGGGAGGGAAAGAGAGAGAGAAGAAAAGAGCAAATAGCCATCTCAAACTCTATATCCCAGCCATCCATTTCCCACATTGCCTGCCCTTAGTGCCTCTATGTGCACACCTGAGTGTAGGGGTCATGACGGGTATCTTGGGAGGCGAGTGGAGAGTATATGGAGCCCAAGAACAACATCCCAGAATACTATTCTCAAAAGTTTGTAAAATAGAATCAGCTAGGGTCCTGTTTAATCACTGACATCCACGGTTGTATTGAAACACAGAGAAATGAATGAAATTTCACACACAAATAGACATTCATTCCATTAAAGCCTCATGACTTTGGATAGGGCAGACAATGCTGAATTTCCCATGAGCACTGGCTTATACTAGTTCCAAAGAATCTCTTATTCTCTGACAGAACACCAGGGTAACAGGTTCCACAGGGATACCAGGGGATGCAGGGAGAAAGGAACTTGCCCAAGCCTGAGGGAAGTGGGCTCAATGGTAGAGGCAGTGCTGCCCCCAAATGGTACCCTGCGGTAAGTCCCTCATTGTTTTACTAACTTACATATGCACACACATTCTTGTGTTTTCTTAGACATTTTAAAGATTAAAAATGTTCATTTATGTGTATGTCTGTGTGAGTGTGTGACGCATGGGTGCAGCGTTCAAGGAGGCCAGAAGATGGTGTCAAGCCCCCTGGAGCTGGAGTTACAGGTGGTTGTGAGCTGCCTAGCATGGGTGTTGGGGAAATGGAACCTGGGTCCTCTGGGAAAGCAGTAAGTGCTCTTAACCCTGAGGCCACCTCTCCAGCTCCTCTATAAAATCTGATACAGGATACGTATTCTTTTCTTTCTCCCGTCGTGCACCCTGTGCATTTTCCCACTGTTATTATTGGGGTGTCATCTGCAGCTGTGCTCAACTTGATCATGCTGATGCTGTGGGGAATGGGCCTTGTCCACAACAGGAACACACCTGTGGATTCTTGACTTGAGATCACAGTGGGAGGGTTTCTGGACCCACAAGCAAGGGTGATCGGTCCTGATCATAACACTAAGGTGGGTATGGGAAGGGGAAGTACGACTTACAGCAAACATCCCCTCCGTGAAGGACTGGGGATCTCAGAAACTCACAACACCCTTGTCCCTGGCTTTATTTTTAAACAGCCCATTCATCTCATGTCTCCCAACATCCCCCACTCTAGGGGGAGAGGGTGGAAGGGGCCCCAAGCTGTTCTGAGTAGGAGAAGAGTGGAGCAGGAGGGGACAGGATCCATGTGACTGTGCCTGATCGGACATCTCCCTGTGAACAAGAACCACAACAGCAGAATGTGATTTTTTTCTTAATTAATAGAAATTCACACTGCGTAGGCCTGAGGCTCACAGGCTGGGGTCTGTCAGGGACAGATGGGTGCTCCACACGGTTCCAAAAAATATAGCTCCAGACTCCAAAACAATGTGGCCTTTTGAGAAGTTTGGTGGTTTGCTGCTACCTCCTGTCTCTGGTGGCTTGGACAAGGGCTCTGCCCCATGGGTCCTAAAAGAGTGCCCACAACATGATCTGGTAATAGATGGGGAACCTGCCTGTTGCCTGACTCTGCCCTACACAGCTGACTGCATGCTGTGCTTGAGCTTAGGGACAGCAGGGACACTGTCCTACAAGAGTTCTGGTTGGCAGGGAGAATGACAGACACAGGTCATTCAACCCAATTGGCAAAAGGAGAGCATCGATGACTGTAGAGCTGCAAAAAGCATGCCTGAGTCAGCCCCAACACCCCTCTGCCCTGAGCACCTGAGTCAGCCCCAACACCCCCCTGCCCTGAGCACCTGAGTCAGCCCCAACACCCCCCTGCCCTGAGCACCTGAGTCAGCCCCAACACCCCCCTGCCCTGAGCACAGCCTGCGGGGCTGCCCCGAACATGAGACTCAAAGGGCAGCTGCAGTTCCCAGGTGAAAGCTGGGATGCACAGAGAGGTCAAGGATGCAGCAAACCTGGAATGCAGTTCAGGGTGCGGAAGGTGGGGTGTAGACAGTGGCAGCTGGAGACTCTCGGCTGTGTGTGTTCTTACTTATGAGGTGCGGGTTCATGTCCAGTGTGACAGGAAGCTATGAGGGGGCCATAGGCCTAAGAGTGACTTGTGACAGAAAGAGGGACCTTTCTTCACTCTCTTCCCTGATCATCCCTACATCCTGCGGGCTTCATCTCTAGCCACCTCTGACCTTTTCTCAACAGCTTTCACCTTCCATGTTGAACCACAGCCCTGGCTGCTGTGACGGCCACACAGGCTCAGCTTTACTTTTCAACAAGTCAGGCTTTTCACTGCATCAGGGCCCGGGCAGCCATCTTGCAATGCCCTGAAACTCTCCACTGTATATTCAACAAGTCAGGCTTTTCACTGCATCAGGGCCCGGGCAGCCATCTTGCAATGCCCTGAAACTCTCCACTGTATATTCAACAAGTCAGGCTTTTCACTGCATCAGGGCCCGGGCAGCCATCTTGCAATGCCCTGAAACTCTCCACTGTATATTCAACAAGTCAGGCTTTTCACTGCATCAGGGCCCGGGCAGCCATCTTGCAATGCCCTGAAACTCTCCGCTATATATTCATCTCCTTGCATTTCCAGCTTTTGCCTGGTCAAGTCAGAATAGCTATTATTTAAAAACCAAGACATCCAGGGAGGAAACACAAAAATAGTTCTTTGCCAGCACTGGACTGTGACGGTGTGTGTGTGTGTGTGTGTGTGTGTGTGTGTGTGTGTGTGTGATGAAACACAAGAGAAATGCAGGAACCCCTAGGCTTCTCTCTGAAACTCTCTGCATACCAAAGTTCAGGAAATTAGCTCCAGTGCTGAGAACAGGGCTGGGGGAAAGGCTGAGACCTGAAGTTCGGGTATGTAAGGACAACCGGGTGTGGAGAACGAACAGAGGACAGAGAGTTGCATTTAAAACAAAACCAAAAACAAATGCTGCCCCAGAAATGCCATACCCCATCCTTTGCTGGGAAGTGACCCACCAGGACTTCAGGGTCACACAGTGCTGAGAAGGTGGCAGAGTTTGGTCTGAACCAAGGTAAAGCCATCTTGCTGAACACTCTGGGAACTCAGCCAACATCACAAAAGGGAGGATGTCTTCGCAGCAAGTATCACACTATGAGAGTCACTGCACATCGTGGGACAGAAAGAGACTTGCATGAGCATATAATGACCAGAAGTCACCTCGTGAGGGGTCAGGAAGAGATGCACATAGCTCTGTCAAGAGGAAGGGATGGCCGGGGACCTCTACCACACATCATGCACAGGACCAACACCAAAAAAGTTCTTTGAATGACTGGACATGTGAAGAAACTGTGAAATGTTACATCTGCCAAGAAATCAGACAAACAGGAGCAGGCCAGTGGAGATGAGACCTGCAAAATGGCAGTGGTTCACGCATTTCCACCTTTGAAAGACAGAGTGAATGGATGAAAAGATTAACTATTTCAGCACATGCTCAGTGTCGCTCCTTTATAAATAATAAAATGGATAGTCTAGACGCACAAAGTACAATGAATGGAATCAGGAACTCACTGGGTGAATTTGTCAAAGGGTGGGTCACAGTAAGACACACAGTTAGCAAAATAAAGTCAACAGAAAACCCAAAGCAGAAGCATGGGCCTGAAAAATTAAGATAAAGTTTTTACAAAAGGTAAAAGATTCAGTCAAAAGTCTGGAATTGCAGAAGGTGAAAGAAAAATAAGACACTAAATACCTGACAAAAGGACAGCCATGGGCCTGAAGAGATGCTCCCATCAGCTAAAGTGCTTGCTGCAGAGTTGAGGACCAGAGTTCCATGCCCAGCACCCACAGTAAAAAGTCAAGTACAGGGCACACATCTGTGATCCCAACATGGGGAGGCCGAAACAGGCAGATCCCTGTGACTCACTAGCTAGTCACTCTAGCCTAATCCATGAGCCCTAGGTCCCAGAGCCCAGTCTGGAAAAAAGTACAGGTGAGTAGCTCCAGGAAAATGACACCATGGGTTGACCTCTGGTATCCACACACATGCACTGACATACACCCACACACACACACACTAACACACACTAACACACACACACTAACACACACACACACTAACACACATCCCTCTACATGGAAAATATGTTTAAGGAAACGATAACTAAGGATTTTTCAAGTATGAAGAAAGACAAATATGTAAGTTCAAAGAGGTTGGGAAGTTCAAAGTACAAACATAACCATAGCTAGATCCATCAAGCCATCAAAAAATGAAAGATAAAAAGGAAATCTCCAAAGCAGTCAGACACGATGACACAAGTTTCTTCTGGGGGTTGGAAGAAATGATAATGACATCTGGTTTCTGAGCAGAGAAACACAAGAAAGTCAGTCACAGGCTAACTCTCACTATGAGTAGTACCAACAGCAACACTGTTTCCAAATTCTTGTGGAAGGATATACATCACAAAAGCACACAGATATTTACAAGAAAGATTAACAGCTGCTCAAATCAGCAGTAACAGTGACTCATGAGGCTTATTATACATCGAAACAATGTATAACAAGATAAAAAAGAGTTAGCAGAGTTAAACCACTGAATTTTTTTGCATGATTTGGGACACAGTACAAAGGCATTAATCTAAGGCACATCTAAATGACAGATACATCCTGGGATTTCTAGAGTGGTCACTAGAACAATAATGGCAAAGTATATATAAACATAAGCTATTATAAGAGAAAGAGTAATATATGTTATATATATATATATATGCACACACACACACACAGATGAAGTGCAGACAATAAAGGAAACTGGTAAAAATCCAAAAGCTGTTCTTTGAGATAGTGGCTAGAATTGCTGAGGAGAGAGAGGGAAGCAGAAGCCAGCAATGGAGAGTGAGGGGGAGGGAGCAGATGGAGACGCAGAAAGGGAGAGGGAGAGAGAGGCAGGATGCTGGAGTGACACAGGGTCTCAGCATCAAGAGTCTCCAGATATTAACAATGTGAGCATTTCATCCTGGGAATTATAAAAGATGAGATTTGTCTTGGGGCAGGGGGCAAGAGTGACTCAGAGGGAGGTTCCCATGTCTGCACCAAAGTCCCATGTCTCTACAGAACCAACCTGATTCCATTCTGCTGTGTTATCTTCCATGGGTCACTGCTCTGTTTCCAACAACTTTCAAGACCCAACCTGAAGAGTGATGGCTTGAGCTGTTTGGGCTATTTCCCACTTGGGAAAATCCAAGGTATGACTTCAGAGCCCAAGCCCCCTCTCCCACTCTTACTTCTCTGGGTCTACTGGGAGGGTCAGGCTTACCTGGCAGTCAGAAAGAAGATCTTAAGCCAGCCTGCTTGGGTTCATCCCAGCTGCAGCCTTCCCTAACCAGGTGACCTCATGCAAACCCATTCATTTCTCTGCCTGGTTTTCTCATCTAGCAAATGGGGCTAGTGATCTAACTCTCCCCTGTGGCTTCCACAGGGATACCTAGGCCTTGGGGGCATACCCCACTGCAGAACCAGCAATACGAGAGGGAAGACAAGCCAACAAACCTGGAGGCTGTGGCTCAGGGACCTCTGAGGCTGTCCTTGTTGTATGGAACACCATGGCATCTCCTGTTCTTTCGCCAGCTGAGCTCCGTCTCCCCTTGCACCGTTGGTGTGTGCTTCCTGAGGTCCTACAGTGACTGCACAAACTGATGAGGCAGAGCTAGCAACAGCCCTGCATCTGGAACCTTCTAAATCTAAGAAAGGTCCTGCCTGCCCCCAAGTGACACCCGATTTCTCATCCCACAGTGGTCCACAGGCTCTTGTGATCAGTTGTTCTGAAAATAGAGTAACCTGGACCTCTTTGTCTTCAGCGTGTCCCTTGTCTTCTGCCATCTTGGAGTTCCCCTGGGAACTCGACCTTTCTTCCCCTGAACCCCTGCTCATTTGCAGGACCTTCCGCTCCAGGCCTTGGACCCTGCCTACCAGGTGTTTGTTTTCCCCCTGCAGAGCCCAGACCATGTCTTCTATCCCTAGCACTGTATCTTTCATCAGCCCTTTGTAACCGACTCCAAGCTCTGAGATCAGGGCCCTGAGCTCTCTGTTTTCCAGGGTGACATGCTTCATCCTGCTTCCGGCTTTCCTGACACTCTCAGACATGGCTTTATGCAGCCGACCCAGGTCCTCCTTCAGCTTCTCATTCTCCTCTTCCAGCTGGGAAATCTTGCAGTAACTCTTCCCATTACAGTCCTCTAGGTCAGACACAGCCTGCAGACAGTGGTCCAGCTCCTGCCTGAGGCGGGCCAGCTCTCCCTGCAGCGTGTGATTTGCCTGCTCCAGCCTTCGTGCCTTGGCTACTACTTCTCTGGCCCGCTCTTTTTCACAATGTAATCCTTCATGGTCACATCCTTCTTGGGCTCCCTGAAACCTGGCATTATCAAGCAAAATCTGACTTCTCTCTTTCTTTGGGGTGGCAAGCAGCTGATGGAACCTGCTCCCTGCCTTCTGGGTACACCTTTTTGGAGGCAGCAGGCTCGCACCTGGGCCCTGGTTGGCTTTATCCTCATCAGGTGTTGCTCCTGGAAGACCTTCTCTAGCACATAGGGGCACATCCTCTTCCAGCCGCACTCCCTCACCATTCCTGCTGGATTTTGCATTCAGATCCTGGCTGGCTGAGGCCTGCTGATGACACACACTCCCCTCAGTGCCCAACCATGTGTGAGTGACACTCTGGCTCTCTCCTGTCAATGTTGACATCTGCTGAGGGTCTCCACAGACAAGCTTCAGGTTGTTTGGCTGCTGGAAGCGGGCCTCCACCTCCCTCTCCAGTGTGTCCATCTGGAGGGTGAGCCTGTCCTGTCCTGTGATCAGAGCCTGTGAGGGACAAGAACCTTCTCTGCTGCCACCTGCTGGGGCCCAGTTGGGAAACTTCGGCAAATGCTGATCGCCCATTGGCAGGCACTGTTCCTGACCCACATAGGTCTTAATGTCAGGCTGCTTACAGACTCCCAAAGAAGCTGGCCTGGGTGCTACTCGGAGCTGCATCTTCTCCTCTTGCTCTTCATCCCCCCCAGACCTCTCCTTCTGCAGGAGCTGAGTGACTCCAAGGCACAGCTGGGGGCTCTGCGGGTCCTGTGCCCTCCTCCAGACCTCTTTGCCCTTTCCTGCTGGAAGCTGGCTGCCATTTGGCTCTGGCTTTCTGGTCTCATGGACCCTGGAGCTGGTAGCCTCTTCCTCCTTCTCTGGTGACAGCTTTCCCAAGAGTTCCCAGTCACATCCTTCCACTCTCCCTTTCTTTCTCAAGGGATCAGGACCCTCCTGTGACCTAGAGGTTGCCCCATGCAGAGTCAGGATTAGACATTCCGGCTGGAGCCTAGGACAGTGGGCTATGGCCTGGGTCTCTGAAGCCCTGCTCCCTTCCTGCATGTCCTCTGGGGCTTGGATCCCAGTGACCAAGATCAGCTCCTCACTGCTTTCCTGGTCCAGTGGGGACTTGTGATCAAGCTCTGAATTTATCATTCCCAAAGTTCCCAGCACCTCCCATTTCTCTGCTCTGGCAAGCGGAGGCTCACTTCTGTCCATCCACGCATCTCTCAGCCCCTTGGGTTCTTTTGTGGGAAATGGGCCATCTGAAACCAGTGGAGACTGCTGGCTATGAGAGGTGAGATGACTCCTCGACAGATTCCAAGGCCAGTCAGGGTGTGCCAAACCCCCAGAGAAAGGTGGGGGCCGGCTGTTCAGCTCTTCTTGGGTCTGAAGTTCTTGTACGGAATGCTCCTGGAGCAAAAATGGCAGTAGGAGCTGTGGTTCCCCAGCAGGTCCCCAGAGCGGGAGCAGGGATGTGGATAACAGCAGAAGGGATTTCTGGACTCCAGCGGCTTGAAGATTCTCTGAAACTCCTGCCAGGTCCAAGGAGCAGAGTGGCTCATTCATGCCTGGCCCTGGGGGGCAGTTACATAGCAGCTGAAGAATCTGTCCATCTGGGTGGGGCTGGAAGAGAGCACCCTGCAGGAGGGAAGAGGAGCTGTGGTATGAAACAGCTTTTGCCTGCTTAGCCCACTGACATCTGATGATCCCCCGCCCCCCAGCCACCGCCGCTCTGTGCTCTCTGAACCTGCCCACACAGCTGCATGTGTGTCCTGCTCTTCCACCCCGGGCCTTCAGCCTGAGCTCTTCCAATTGGTCAAGATTCTCCTCCTCCCGGTTACCCTCAAGGAATCCCTTCATCTCAAACCAAACATTGCCTCCTTGCAAAGACCCAACCCCTTGTAGCGTGCCCACCATCACTTACTTTCTGCGTTCTACATCGTAACCGGTCATACACAGATGTCCATAGGGTAGTCCACACTCCCTACTGCCCTTTTCTATCCAAGGTCTCCATGAGCACCACAGAATGTGAAGTTATAAATGAGGTTTCATTCTGCAGGAGCCTGAGCTACCCTGTGGCTCGAAGCTGCCACCTCAGGTGACAGAGATCGAGGACACCAACCACATGTGGAAGGTTTAGGTCACAGTATTATATGGACTCCCTGTTCCCCCAGAGTATAGGGGCTGGTTCTTACTTTGCCCCAGGCCCGGAACAGTGCCAAGCTCACCTGAGGGGCTTCTTAGACCACTTTGAATGTCTTTATAGTCATCTATACCACATGTCTATCCAGAAAGGAAGATACCTTGCTCACAGCACCTGAGTGGAGCAGAAGACTAGGTGGCAGATCTGAGTCCAGTCAGCTTCTCTACCAGCCTCTGAGCTTCTCAGTCTTGCTGGGCAATGGGGAGCTGTGGAACTGTGGGCAGGATCTTGGCAAGGACTCTGAACATCAGGAAGAGGCTTAAACTTTGCCTCTAGTCTGGGAGGAATTGCTTGGACTAGATATCCCCAAATTAAACGATCTAGCCTGGGCCTCAGGGGCAGTGGCGACACACAGTTCTAATACAGTGATGAGATTAGAGGCAATAGAATTAGCAGAGACAGATATGGCACTGAGCACACACTATTTCAGGGTGACAAAGGACTGATGGGATTCCTTTCTGTATGTGAAGCCAAACTTTATGAGGGGATGGTTCAGGAAGTGAATGAATAGAAAAATGGATGGATGGATGGATGGATGGATGGATTGGATGCATGGAAGCATGGATACATGGATGTATGCATGCATGAGGTTCAGAATCACAGAGTCATGTCAGGACACCACTCCTGGTTGAGCTTTGTTCTTTAGAACAAGAGGCAGAAGCTGAGGTCAGTGGTTTCCCACAGCATTAGGATGAATTCAGATCCATCTCCTGATATCAGACCATTAGAGTATAAAAGAAGACCAGGGCTCTGCACCTTCAGAGCTGGGGAACTCTGGGGAGTCCCAGCATCCCTTGGGTCTCATCATCTCAGGATAGGGATGCAATACCTGCTCTGTGGGTGGCCAGGGGGCTTCACTAAGTCAACATGAGTGTTGGAGCATCCCAGGCCAGGCACTTAGTTGGGTTTCTTTTCACCCCACCCTACTTCTCTGCTAGGTCTCAGCAAGCTGCACCCCACCCCCTCAAATCTCTCTCTCAATCATTTCCAGAATGTTCTTCCAAATCTGGAGCTTTCTCACAAGAAGCGCCTCCCTAGGGAGGTCACATTGCCATAGCAGGGCCACCAAGGTCCCGCTGATCCTCATATGCACAGAACCCTCAGGCCTCACCTGTCTATGCTCAGCCCCTGGAAGGTCTCCCTGGAGCTTGCCTGTGGTATTTGCTGGCAACACCATGCAGGGGTCCGGTTGATCTTGAACACAGCTGTGGGGCTCTTCTGAGAGCTGGTCTAGAAGAACAAGACCCTGAGGTTAAAATCACTCTTGGAAGATCTATTACAATGGCCACCAACAGCCATGTCAGCTGACAGATGTCTTTCTTGACATAGGTTTTTTAGCCCACGATGACTCCTGATGACCCCTACTCTTCTGCCAGGTGAGAACCTGAGGCTGGAAGATGTGAATGACCGCCAACTGTGAGCAGAGGAACTGGTTCTCTAGAAACATCCATGGACCACAACTGGACTATGCCCATGAAGCCTTTTGGACCCTCAGGGTCCTCATCTGTTGGCAGGGTGATACCCCCTACCCTGACCCTGCACAGCTTTCAGGAACAGCCCCACCAAGTCACATTCATGTTGGCCCACCCAACAGCTCTGCTCCCCAGACATGACTAAAGGGAAACATCAGCTGCCTCCTCCTGCAACCAGCAGCCCTGGATATCATGAGACTTAGACTGCTCTTACATTTTGAGGGCTGAAAGTTAGCAAGCAGAATCTCTGACAGCAGGTAAGTAGGAAACTTTGTCTTACAGTTAGAGACCAGGGGTCTCAAAGCCCCGGTAATTCTCAGACTGACAGTCACAAGTCTCATTCTCAACCTGAGGAGTTGCCTGGGGTGGAAGGTGGTCAGAATGACCCCTGATTGCCATAGACATCTCTGTGAGGACAAGGCCCCACTACCAACTTGCAAGCTGGCCAGCCCCTTTGTGAGCTGAATGTGCAAGTTTCAGTGTTCAATTATCCTAAGCTAATGGTCCCTGGAACATCACACCATAATTCTGCCTTGAACAGCTGTGCGACCTTAAGTCTCTCTCTGATCAGCTATGTGACCTTAAGCTTCCCTGGGTCTTGTCTATAAGAAGAATAAACCATCCCATACAACACTGCAAGGATAATATGAGGACTAAGTGAGCTGGCCTATCAGAAGGATGTCAGGTGACCCCTCTATGTACCACGGCATCCACAAACCTGCTGGGGCTTGAAGTCCATGAGCATCACTGTGGCAGCCTTGGCTGCTGCAGGGATCCAGCACCTCTGCCATGGGTGGGAGCAGAGAATCACTCTGTGCACAACCCGAGGCACCCTTGAGAGAAACAAAGAATTGAACAGTCACAATTGAACTTCAACTCGGTTGAAGTGTCCACTCCAAGCCCATTCCTATTCTCCCTTCAGAGCAATGGTCAGACCCCTCCAAGTAAGTAAACTAAGGCTCAGAATGCAGTGGGTGCAAAGCTGGTCATGGAGCCTAACCTGGGTCATTGGTTTACAGGGCCACACTGTTCTTGTTGACTCTTAGGATCCTTTTAGTAAGTTACAAGGAGTGACAGTCTGTCCTTGGAGTACTCTGTCCATCCAGACAGGAGACTGTGCAGGGGGTGAGAGTGGGAGGGGTCCTGTGTAGTCTCTGTCCCACCAGGTAAAGCTGGCATCTGCCCAGGGATTTTGAAAGTTCCCCTGTGAGCGAGTCCTAAAGTTAACAGTAGCCAATGACCTAAAAAAGCTCCCCCCAGACCTGCAGGAGGCCAGCTGTGTGAGCAGAGAGGAACACACCCAACATGGTCCCGGGGGCCACCTGTGAGCTGTTCCAGCTGGCATGACCACTGTAGGCTCTTGCCCCTGATACGATGGCCTCCTGGCCTCTGGGCCTCTGCATGGCTGTTCCTTCTGCTGCTTTAGGGAGGGGTCCTAACAGCCAGCCAACTGTCATACAGGCCTCTCTGTAGCTGGCTCCTGGCCTTGTTCCCACCCCACTGAACATTTGGCCAGTAAATTAAACTGGAAATCAAACCAGAGCAGGGTGCCTCCCCCTTCTCACTCTTCTCCAGCAGGATAAAAAATCCCATCTCCCCAGTCTCACACACATGCCTCTTTCTGTGTTCCAGCCAGGTACAGTAGGTCCCAGGGCATGGGGCAGGGCTGTGGCTGAGCCAAGGGTACTAAGGTGGACCTGGGCAAGCCCACACCACAGTAAACTGACTCTCACCTGGAGTCAGTTTTGCAACAGCTCGATCGTTGGAGTGTGCAATCCATGCAAGATGGTAGTAAGGCTTAATATCCTGCAGAAGCAGTGGCCGAGTACCCACCAGGCTTTCTGTAGCCTTCCTTGACCTTTCCACAAATGAAGTCTCCATCGCCCTCCTCCACAGCCCCTCCTTCTGCCATTCTGTGCTTGTGACCTCTTATCTGTCTATGCAACAGGTTGTGCTCTATCCGTTTGCCTATAAATTTTCAGCCCCAGCTGTATCATAGATTCTTCCAGAAGCTTCCAACAAGGACTAATAAGAACACTCGACCCCAACCAATAACAACCAGAGGGCATGGGAACCAGTTCGCAATCTAATAGACAACAGACTGTACACAGAGAGTCCTGACCAGACAGGTTAACACCAACTGTGCTCATAGGCCTGTCACCTGCCTCTGTTTCTGTCTACTTGGCTCTTACCTGGTCATAATTAAACAGTCCCAACCACAGCTTAAAAAATCAGCATGAAAGCAAGATGAAAGATCAGAAAGATGAAGGGACAAAGAGACAAATGCAGGAAGGTTGATAAAGATGGAGAGAAAGAAGGATGGAGAAAAAGATCAGAAAAGAAAATCTAAATGAACAAGAAAAAGAGAGGGGATGAGTAGAGAGAGACTCGAGTCCTAATAAGTGTAAGGAGAAGAGAGGGCAGAAGGAGAGGAGAAACAGGCAGATGGAGAAAGGAAGGCTGGAGTCAGCACACAGTCAGACATCATGTTTCACCGAGGCCAGCACGCTCACCATGGCCCTTAGTGCATATCCTGCTTGTACCCTGCTTCTCTGCCCACATGTTTTCATGAATGCTTGCAGAGCCCCAGCTAAGGGCCAGGCCTGGTTACAAGGCTAGGGACACAGTCACAGAAAATGCACACGCTTTATACCCCAGGGAGACTTCCAGAGCTATGACACTGAAATGATAACCTTTACCTGGTCTACCTCCTCACTTCATGAGTGATGAAGTCAACAGTCAGAGAGGGACAGCAGCTTGTCTAAGGACATAGGACAAGCCAGATGGAAAAACAGGAGAAGAGCTCCCAACTCTGGCCTTGCGCCTTCCCAGCACTGTGCTCGCTCAGCTGAGGGAACCACAGCCTGGACTCTGGTTTGCCTCAGTGTGTGATTACTCTGAGATACAATGGCATCTAGACACAAGCATCTATGTGTCATGGTACGTCCTTCCAGGCTTTTCCCTAAGCACAGGTAGTAGAAGATTTCTACTTACACAAAATGTAAACTTAGGTTTGTGCAATTTATTTTTGTTCAATAGTTTAGAAGAATCAAATCCTCCCAGACTCTCCTGCTGTGGTTTGGGGTTGTCTAACATTCTCTGCCCACATATCCCCTAAGTCCTGGGTTCTTAAAATGAGTGTCTTGATCCACACAAGGTTATGCAACTAAATGTCACCAAAAATATGGCAATAGTAAAAGAGTTCTGAATGTTTGAGTACACCCCCAAAAACTCAGAATCAAATATGTAATGAAAATGAGGCATTCCTGGTAGCACTGACCCATATTGCACTGTGTGACTTTATGCGAAAACACATACACACATCTACTCATTAGCATGCAAGTTGGCTTTCACCTTTAGTAAATGGCAAACATATGCCTGAAAGAATTATTTAAAATAAAAATTTTAATACTCATCATAAGTAAATGTTTGACTTGTATACCTATTTTTATTTATGTGTATTTCTATGTCCATGTGTGGGCATGCACATATTGGGCAGGGGTTATGTGCAGAGGCCAGAAGAGGGCACCAGATCCCCCAGAACTGTAGTTACAAGCAGTTGCAAGCACCCTGATGTGGGCGCTGGGAACTGAACCTGGGTCCTCTGGAAGAGGGGTACATGGTTGTAACCACTGAGCTATCTCTCCAGCCTCTATTCATTTATTGTATATGCTGGCATACCTAGGTTGTGGGAAAATGTCTTAAGAGACAGGTGTGATGAGTGATTTGAGAAGTCCTGGCTTGAGCGAGACCACGCAGGCTCCATCTCACTGGACACTGAGGCTACTTCTGGTTCTGCCAGCTGCAAACAGCACTGGGATGGGGACAGCTGTGCACAGCTGCTTGGTGGCTGCTTACCCCTTCTTCAAAATGTGCTGTGGCCTGAACAGGAAATGTCCCCACAGGATCATGTGTTTGAACCTGTGGTCCCAGCTAATGGCATTGTCTCGGAAGGTTGTTGAACCTTCAGAAAGTGAAGCCTCCCTGGAGGAAGTGGGTTACTGGGGGGGGGGCCTGGTGGCAGCACACACTTGATAAGCTAGTCCCACTTCCTGCCTGTCCCTACTTCCTGAGTGCAAACACAACATGACCAGCTGCCCCATGTCCCTGTTGTCTGCCGTGTCATGCTGGGACCATACTCCCCCAAATCATGAGATAAAATAAGCTCTCCTTCCCTTACACTGCTTCTTGTCATGTATTTGGTCACAACTATGAGAACAGCAAACATCTGTTCATGGAGGTTCATGATCACACGGTAAGTATAGGCATTCTTACAGCATTTAATACTCACTGATAGGCAGCCCTCCCCATAGGCTTAGATCTACAAAGGCTCAAACCCTGCAGAGGAATGGCTCCTTTAATAGCTACATGTATTGACTATTTCCTTCTGTTCTGTATGTGCAGGTGTGTGTGTGCATGCATGCATGTGTGTGTGCATACATGCTGTGTGTGTGTGTGTGTGTGTGTGTGTGTATGTGTGTGCACATGCATGTTGTTGAGAATTGGGGGCCTCACACATGTCAGACAAGTACTTTATCACTTGACTTTTGGTCCAGTGATGTTTTTTAAAGAGTTGGTATTATATGTATATGTGTGTGTGCCCGAGTAAATGCTGGAACATGTGTGTGCAAGAGCTCTCAGAAGAAGGCACTGGGTTCCAGGAAGCTGGAGTTACAAGCAGTTGTGATCTTCTCCATGTGGGGGCTGGGAACCAAACCCTGGTCCTCTACAGGAGCAACAAGGGCTCTTGGCCACTTAATCACCTCTTTATCCCCCTTGACTCCATTTCTTAACACCCCTATTTGCTTTATAGTGAACACCAAACCTGTGATGACACAGACCTACAGAGGCGCAAGCAGGGGTCTTTCCCCAGCAACAAAAACCATTCCCAAAGCTGCTGCCAGGATTCACTTTATCTATACTGCAGGACGGGGGAGGGGGACTGCAGGACAGGGAGGGCTGCAGGACATGGAGGACTGCAGGACAGGGAAGACTGTAGGACAGGGAGGACTGCAGGACAGGGAGGACTGCAGGACAGGGAGGACTGCAGGACAGGGAGGACTGCAGGACAGGGAGGACTGCAGGTCAGGGAGGAGTGCAGGGCAGGGAAGACTGAAGCAGGACAGGGAGGATTGCAGACAGGGAGGACTACAGGACAGGGAGGTGTGTAGGACAGGGAGGACTGCAGGACAGGGAGGACTGCAGACAGGGAGGACTAAAGGACAGGGAGGACTAAAGGATAGGGAGGACTACAGGACAGGAAGGACTGCAGACAGGGAGGACTGAAGGACAGGGAGGACTACAGGACAGGGAGGACTACAGGACAGGGGAACAATGCCCATCACCTCAGCACCTCACCTCCCAGGTGACTGACATGGTGACTGACTTTCTATCTCTACACATGATCCTCTCTCAGTGACTCTCCAGGCCAGGTGATGGCCATCTGTCTGTCTTCCGATGTAGCTGTTTAGAAGCCAGGTTTGCCATTGCTTGCCCCTGTGTCTGTCTGCCCTCCAAGCTCCTGAAGAGCTGGTCAACACCCAGATCACACACACACATACACACACACACACACACACACACACACACACACACACACACACTCCTTCCCTGCCCTGCAATCCCAGGGAGCGGTGCTATGCGTGGGACGCTGCAGGAGCCCAGTGAACACTCACAGAGAAGCACACAGGCACACCAGCAGGTCAATGGCAGTTTGCCTCCCACTGTCCTCCTCAGAGTCTGTCACCAGCAGGAGCCCCTCCCCCAAACTCCTCCCAGTGGCCCATTCTTCTGGGGACTTAGCTTTTAAGAAGCCTATTCTGAAAGCTGTCACCTATCTGAGTCTGGGCTTAGGGACATGGCACTAGTGCTTCCCTGGCTGCTTTACAACATGTTTGAGAGCTTTTCAGAGCAAGTGCTTTGTGGCTAAGAAGCAATTGAGATGTCTTCTTACAATGGCTGCCCTACGACTCACAGCACAGCTCCCAGAGTCTGTCAGATGTAGTAAACAGAGGGCCATCTTGGGAATGGGGCTGTGAGACCCTCAAACCTGGCTTCTTCCATGCTGGAGCATGAGACTTTCTCCACCTGCCTCAGTTCCCTCACCTGTAAAGTGAGGGCTAATAACTCCACCCCCTCATCAGCTGGCTGCAAGGACCACACAGCTCAGGGCAAATGGCAGCTTTGTGAAAACTGTCCGCTGCACACTTCCCTGCACATGCTCAGTCCACACATCTTGTTTCCCAATCTCTGTTCCTTACAGCATTACAACCACCTGGAGACAGTCCCTACGACTGAGACAAGTGGTTTCTTATGTTTCTTTCCTCATTCACTGAGCATCAAAGCCTGCGGGTGCCAGTCCTATCTCACAATAAGGATGCTGAGGCACAGAAGTTTAGTAACCAGCCCAAGACTATCCTGGCCAGTCTGGATCACTACTGTCCCCTAAGTGGGATTCCTCTGCAGTTCCCTATAGAAGTACCTCCCCCATGGCAGCACACAACACCCCCTACTGAGCAGTGCTGCATGTCCCATGAGTTCTAAGAACATCCTCTGTTTTTTCCTCTGCCTCACACATGGGGACCACTGCTTACGGACAACTTAGGGGATCTTCGGTAGACATATTTTGGCTTTGATACTCTAAGCCCTATGTGAGATGCAGCTGTTGGGGTGCAGGACCTTCTGAAGAGAGCTTGCAACACTGAGGTCATGGATGCTTGTAACTGGTGAAGGCTTTCCAGCTGAGGGCATAGATCCTACCTGACCCAGCCACTGAAGAGCGCAAAGACCCAAAGAGTTGCTGACTCTTGCCCCTGATCCAGAGGGAAGGACAGCAGAGGAGGGTGCGCTTCCTTGCTGGTCTTGATGCTGCCTTGGTGTCTGTGGCCAGGAACAGCCTCTAATGCACGAGGGATTAAAGGAGAGAACAGGAAATAGAAAAACAGGTGCAAGACTCAGGCATCTAGGAACCCACTCTTCTCAGAGAAGTCTTCTGAAGGAACAGGGGGATTGCAGCAAGATGGGAGAATAAAGCCTCAGGCCAGCTGCCTAATGGAAGCACATCTATGGCAATCACAGGAAGGAAGCTAAATGACAAGTTACATGTACGCATCATTTATTTTCAAAATTACAAGGAGACAATGGTAAGTGTGCACTCTGTTTTCCTCATAGTGGCTGAACAAGAAGAGCGCGGAGGGCCAGGTGGGAGATAAAGCAGTGAGAACACACAACAGAACCCACACACTGTAGTAAGCTGGCCCAGGCAAGAGACAGGCCATTATCCAGAGAACTTGAGTGATCCAAGTTCTACTTAAAAGATACATTTGAATTTTTAAATGAGCAACTCCCATTGGTTTATATTGTCTGTTTTTGTTTGAGGTAGGGGCTGCCACTGCCCAGGGTGGCCTTGAACTTTCTATGTAGCTTGAACTCGTAATCCTCTTGCTTCTCTCTCCCAAATGTCCCCTCTTCTTTAAAGGAACTAAGCTGACTATGGTTTTAGGGACATAGGGCTAATGCCGATAGAGCTACCTGCCCTGGCACCAACTTCCAGGTCTGTCTCTCAACAATTGAGTGACTACAGTTAAGATATTTCTCCTCAGAGCCTCAGCTTCCTCTCCGTGGAGCAAGGATGCTGACAGCAGCTGTCCCTATCTCCACAAGCTTTGAAAGGAAGCTTTGAATACATCTGGCACAGGAAGACATTAAATGCACATCTTCTGCCATGTAAAGAGGAAATAAATTCCCAGTATTCTTGTCCCAGCTTAAGAAACGTACCCGAGTTTAAAGAGCTAGTAATGATGAGATTCAGAAAAAGCCCAACCCCTGGCACTTTCTCCTATGCAGCCCCGGGGCCCCTGTGTGCTGCTGTGAGGAATGGAGGCTGCAAGGGCCAGTAGATGCTGGACCTACCCTGGAAAGTTCTCAGCCCAAGAGGGGAGGAAGTTTCTCACAGCATGAAATGAGCACTAGGGAAGACATGGGTGGCACATCCCGCTCATTAAAGAGGCACTGGCCCCTTCCACCGGGTAAGTGAGTACTCAACAGCTACAAGGGACCATCTACAAACCAGGACTCTGACACAGAGTCTGTGGGTGCCTTGGATTAGATGTGAAAGGCTAGACTAGTGTTGGGGCATGGGTGCACTGGCTATTTCCCTTGCCACTGTGACAAAAATACCTGGACACAGCGACCTAAAGGACGAAGGGCTTGTTCTGTCTCTTCCTGTAGAGACTACAATGACGGCAAGGGAGCAGCTGGGGAAGGAGTCTGGGTTCTGCTTCCTCACAACTCAGGAAGTTCCAGCAGGTGGAAGCCTTGAGCTAGCACCTTAGGTCACCCCAGCAACCTCCTAGTAGATGTCTCTAACCTTTCAACATTGTGACTCCGATGTTTTCACTACCAAGGCCATGCTCAAGAACAGCATGACTGTTATTTTCAAATACCTCATAGTGCTTTAGTCTTGGCTTTTGTGTTGGGCCACATTCATGGCTATCCAGGAGAGACTGCATCCCAAGGGCTTCAGATTGAACACACCTGTCAAATTTAAGTGGGGTTCTACAACCTCCCCAAACAGGACACTCAGCTGGGGACCAAGGGCTCAAACGAGTGAGCCTGTCAGGGAGGAAAGTTATCGCACACTCAAACTCCTAACTGTGGCAGTTGGCTGTGGGGTATAGTACATAGCTGGACTTGGGAGTCTGCAAATGTGTGGACAAGTGGGTTGACATCAAATGGCTGCCACAAGAGTAGATGACCATATGGGTAGTGAGTGATCATATGGCAGTGGTGAGCTCGTATGTATGAATAGTGGGGCCGAGACTGTGTGGTGAAGGATGGACTGGCCTCTGGTTCAATAAATGATGAGAGGATGCTGGAAAACGACCTTGATCAAGTGCTTGGACAGCAGTCAAAGGAGGGCAAGCAGTCATTCCTGTCCTGGGTTCCGGCCACTTACCGGGGTACCATGCCCCAGCTGGGCCCGCAGGTGCATATTTTGGTGGGCAAGCTCCTCCACCTGGCTGTGCAAGCCAATCTCCGACAGAGTCAGCCCGTACACGCAGCAGCGCAGTTCCTCCAGCTGCTCCCGCAGCTGCCGCTCGGTGACGCTGTGCTCCTGCAGCCTGCGCACCGCCTCCGCCCACTCCCGCTCTGCGCGCTCCGCCCTGGTCCTCAGTGCGCTGAACTCTGTGGCCTCGGGGGAGCTTAGAGGACCGGCCGGGGGTTGCGGCCTGGGGCTGCCCTCACTGGGCAACACTGCAGCATTCAGCTGTGCCAGCAGGAAACCCGCGGCGCGACCCAGGCGCCGCACGTCGCGCTCCAGCCGCTGCACCTGTGCCCGCAGAACGCGCTCCTGATCCCGCACCAGGCCCAGCTGCAGTCGCTGGGCCCGCCCACAGCGCTCCAGGGCTGCTGCCTGCTGTGCCAGCGCCTCGTCCTTGAGCCTCAGCCGCTCCTGCAGCCGCTGCTGCCGTCTGGCGGCGCTCTCCGCCTCCCGCACCTAGGAGTTGTGGTGATGGGGACGTCAGGGAGCCCCAGGCATATGCCTGGCTCTTCTTGACTTCTCTCCCTAACATTCTCGTATTTGTGCATAGTGGGTATTTTTGCATTAAAACGTTACGCTGGGACCTGGCGGTGGTGGCGCAGGCCTTGTGAGTATGAGACCAGTCTGATCTACAAGAGCTAGTTCCAGGACAGCCTCCAAAGTCACAGAGAAACCCTGTCTCAAATAACCCAAAACAAAACAAAACAAAAAGTTACACTGGGACCAAAGATGGCTCAGAGGATAAAGTCATTTGCCACCAAGCATGAAGACCCAAGTTGGGTCTCCTAGGACCGGTATGTGGTGGAAGGAGTGAGCCAGTCCCACAAACTAGACTCTAACCTCCACTATGGCACATGCATGTGCACTTACAAACTAAACGATTTTTTAAAGTTACGCTGATTACTGAGTTTGCTGGCACTGCAGCCGAGAGTCATCTTCACCTCACCATAGCCTGAGCCCAGGAGTTCATGAGTTCCCTAAGTCTGTGTGTGCGTGCAGTGGGTTGGAAGGGCAGTACGTCCTGTAGAGGGTCTCTGGAATTGTTCAGTGTGATCAGGCCACACCAATTTCCAAACTCAACAGAACTTTCCAGAACCTCCCCTTTTGGCGATGTGAGCTGAGCAGGGGCCAGGAAGCCACAGCAGCTATTCACAACTGTGAATACCTCCCCACCTCCAAACAGGACTGTCATTAGCCCCGCCACACACTCGCCACACACTGTCTAATGGGACAGCTAAAATCTTGCAGCCAGTTCTGGGGCACAGCATGGCAGCCTTGTGTCTGAGTCAAGGACTTCTTTCTCTGTCCCTCAGCCATCGGGCAGAGCAGGGAACACTTCTCCATAGCTGGACAACCCCACCTTTTCCCTGTCACATACAATGAACTGGACTGGGGTGCAACACCACCCTGAAAACAAAAACAGGTCTTCAATGTTCACATTCTGTCCAGACAAACACTGCCTGTGAGAAGCTTTCTGTCACCAGCTTCCTGCTACCCTCTGCTGCCAGAGAGCCTGCAGGTGAGAGAAACAGAGAGCAAAGAGACAGGAAAGCACTGGTTCTGTGGGGCAGGTTCTTGGTAGGGTGTGGAGGGGGAATAAAAACTGGAATTGCGTTTCCTGGAGGGAAAATTCTCCCGGCCTTGAGATTGTGTGAATTCTGTACTGGGTGTCTGTGTGGTTCTGGATGCCTGGAGATCATGGCGTGAGTGGGTGGGCCTTTGGCACCTCTCAGGATGACCAGAGCTCACTGCAGAAATGAGGCCTTTGCTTCCTGGGAATCTGACCAGAGCAAAGTTACCATCTGTGACAGATCAGACACAAAAGATGCCAAAAGCGTGTTCACACACCCCTGCAATGCTGACTCTGCATGTCAAAATCTCCACCAAAAGTATACAGACCAGGGATTAAGGCTGGGGACTGGGCTACAGCTGGGGCAAACGTGACCCTGACCAAGCCACTGAATCTGTAAAGAAGCTTCTTGGCAGGTCTCCCTGTGTGCATTCATGTTGTTTAAGACAGCATTAACAACAGGGAAGTGCATGGAAAGGGTATCTAGCTCCCTGGCCTCCCCAGAGCCAACTCATCCCACAATGCAATTATCTTACCCTTCATCTTCCATCACACTAGAAGCTTCTCCATGCAGGACTGTCCCAGACTCCCCTGAGGAATCCCACGTGTGTCAAGAGCAAGGCTCAAAAACCCTTACAGTGTCTCTTCAGAGAAACCACATGTCCCCAGTGCAGAGCCACAGCCTGTACCTTGATATGAAAACGCCCCTGGGGTTGAGCAGCTAAAGGTACATGAGCCAAGGAGCCAATTTAACCTGACTCTGCCTCCAGTGGTCAGAGGGAAGGTGACACCTGGCTGACCCCCTAGTACTGAAGGATTCAGTTGAGCTGAGTCTGACTCCTTCTCTTCCCACTTTTGTGTCGGTGAATACTCCGCCATGTACCCTGGCTATCCCACAGCTGCCCATGATCAGAGACACACAGGACCATCGCATATGTCACGCACACACACAAAGGCACAGCTGAACAAGACTGGAGAAATAACACTCCCTTTAGTACACATGCCACCCGTTCGTACTGAGCCCCCATCCGTGAGTGGGCTGCACCCTGCAATCTTAAAACCCCAAAGCTGTGCTCTAAAGTGAAATCCCTGAAGCCAGTGACCAGGCATCATAGGGTACCTATTGCAGAGGTCCAGGTCCATCTGTTATTTCTTTCTCAAGGTACCCTGAATCATCTCTCCAGCTGGAAGGTTTCTTATGATGGATAAGATGAAGCATGCAGCTATCATTATTGAGATGCCTACCTCTCTGATCATTCTACATGTGTCTTCTCATTTAATTCATATGGCCAACCACCTGAGGGGTGGGTACCATATTATTCCCATTTTCCATATGAGGAAACTGAGACCTGTCGAGGTTGTGTCACTTATCTAATGTCACAGGCAATTCAGCGGTAGAAGTAGGGTTTCCCTCTAAAACATGCCCCTTCACTACTCAATGCTTCTTGATAGAGGTGTCTATTGTTCTCTGGCTCCCACTACCCCAGGCCTTAGCTGCCCTCCTTGGCCCCTTAATGCCAGCTCCTCTGCTAGGAGGCTATCTCTGCAATGACCCCTCTGGTATCCCTGTGCTTCCCAGCCTCTCCCCCTCCCCTGCACACACCTCCTTTCCTGGGACTCCCCCTGCTCACACCTCCTTTCCTGGGCCTCCCCCTGCACACACCTCCTTTCCTGGGCCTCCCCCTGCACACACCTCCTTTCCTGGGCCTCCCCCTGCACACACCTCCTTTCCTGGGCCTCCCCCTGCACACACCTCTTTTCCTGGGCCTCCCCCTGCACACACCTCTTTTCCTGGGCCTCTCCCTGCACACACCTCTTTTCCTGGGCCTCCCCCTGCACACACCTCCTTTCCTGGGCCTCCCCCCTGCACACACCTCCTTTCCTGGGCCTCTCCCTGCACACACCTCTTTTCCTGGGCCTCCCCCTGCACACACCTCCTTTCCTGGGCCTCCCCCCTGCACACACCTCCTTTTCTGGGCCTCCACAGCAGCATGTCAGTCCGCCTCATTCTCACACTTCAAGTTCCCTTTCCAGCAAAGTCTGGGAAGGTCTCATCACACCCACAACGTGTCCAAGTCCCTCCTCACCCAGGACCAGGTTCTTGTCCTCCCTCTGGTCCTACCTGCAAGCAGCAACTTGAGACCTACGTTGGCCCCCTCCTGTTCTCAGGGGCCCAGGCACGAGAAAGGTACCAACATGCTGACACCCATGCTTCCCCAGGAGGCCTGGGAGATAGGGGAGGGGAGGTCAGACAGAGAAGCTAAGGCCCGGGGTGACCATATGACCAGGCACTGGGTAATTGAAGGGACACGAACCCGGATGACCAGTTCCCCCTGCAGTGCCTGTAGCTGCTCCTGGGCATAGAGTGAGGCTCTTCTTTCCTGGGCCACGCAGGCACTCAGCTGTTCTATCTTCAGAAGAAGCTTCTTCTCTGACAGCTCCAGCTCCTGAACTCTGCAGAACCAGAAGCAGGAGATACTCACTCAGGGCAGGAAATGTGTAAACACCACCACCACCACCTCAGTCAGCTGGCCCAGCTACTGGTCTAAGAGTTTCATTGTAAAACACTCACATATGTTATCAACTCGGGGTCTCTGTGTTGCTGAGACTGGCCTCAAACTCATAGCCATTCTCTTTCTACCTCCCCAGTGGTTGGATGACAGGAGTGAGCCACCATCCCTGCCATATGTATCTAATCAGAAAATCTCTGCTCTTCCTCAAAGACATCACTTGCAGGGCTGGGAAGAGGGCTCAGTGGGTAAGAGCACTTGTTTGGTGAGCATGAGGACCTGAGTTCAAATCCCTAGCACCCACACAAAGTCATGCCTATAACTTCAGCACTGGGGACAGAGACAGGCAGACCTTGGGACTCGTTCGTTGGCTTGCCTATCCAAAATGTGAACTTTCATTTCAATGAGAGACCCTGCCTCAAGCAATAAGGTGGCGAATAATGAAGACAAGCTTGTGTCCTACTTGGGTCTCTCCATGCATGCAGATGGGTATTGCATGGATATGCATACTACATATGTGTGTATACACATACACCAATGTCACTTGCCACAGAATTCAACCTTAAGTGTTTCTCAGCCCTATGTTAGCAACCGCTATCCTTAAAGGCCAAGAGACACTGAGCGGAGGCTGACCAGCCAAAAGCTTTCTCTGTACTATGGGACTAGCTCTTACAACTTAACCAACTCCAGGTAATGTACTTCACCGAGGAGAAGAGGCGGATCATCTTCCTGGGTCACACAGAATTGTGGACTCGAGGATGACTTTTAACCTTACTCACTGTTGCCTCCCATCCTGGCTCCAAACTTATTAATGTCTCCTAAGGAAATGACTGACAGTCAAAAGAAGGTCTCTGTGATTAGAGGGGGGCAGGTCTGCGGTTTGCACTTCTACATGAGATGCTGGGAGCAGCCAAAGGGACTGACATAGGGGCAGCTGAGCCATGCAGAGCTCTGTGCTACATGATGAACAGGAACTGTGCCTAGCTGGGAGGGGACAACCCCTGACTGCAAATAGAAGAGGTGGCATAAGCAGGATGACCATGACTATTTATTTATTTATTTATTATTTTTGGTTTTTCAAGACAGGGTTTCTCTGTATTATTTTGGAGGTTGTCCTGGAAGTAGCTCTGTAGACCAGGCTGGCCTCGAACTCACAGAGATCCGCCTGCCTCTGCCTCCCGAGTGCTGGGATTAAAGGCATGTGCCACCAACGCCCGGAGATGGTGACTCTTGAGGGGAAAGTCAGAGCAGTGCTCCCAACAGAGGTGGACAGAAGTTTCTGTCTCCAGTTCAGTGCTAGCCCTGCCTCCATGCCAGGTAACACTGGCCTGAGATACCCCTCCATCCCCCATTTCTTTCTGCTTCACCTCAGACCCTGCGCCACAGGGAGGTCAGGCTCTGCTTCCTACCTCTGTCTTTACCACCGTGGGAGCCTAACTGGGCTAGTTTACCACTCTGGGCTCAGATTTTCATCTGCAAGATACAGGCCACTGCATTTTACTAGCAGGATTTTGTTGAGATTAAGGAGAATGGTGTCTTACAACTCAAAACACAACTCAGGGTTCCTCTCCTTGGGGAGGCCCCCCTGCCCCGCTTGAGTAAATCCTCTCAAGCAATCAGTCAAGAGGTGGAGCTGGTGCCTTCTCACTGTTTTTGAGATGCCCAGAGAGCAGAAAAGGAGAAAGGAAGCCATTCTCTTCATTTTGGGGAGAAACCTGTGTCCTGAGCTCAGGAGAGTCTGCTTCTGACACAAGCAGGAAAAGATGGCCAGTCAGTAGCCGAACTGTGGCTGCAGACACTCCTAGAGCCTGATCCCTGGAGGAAGGACGCCACCCTTCACCGGCACAGAAGCTGCAGGGCAGGGGAAGTCAGTCTGCTGGAGGAGGTGGGCCCCGGAGCATCATGTGGCCTCTAGCTAGTCGGGAAGCAGTCTAGGTGAAGCTGGCTGTAGGGAGGAAAGCTGCAGAGACACTGAGGCACCACCCTTGCTGCAGCTCGGAGAAGGGCTGGGAGCCGAGGAGGGGCGCTTGGCTGAGGGTCAAGCATCCAGGAGTGAGTCCCAATGGTGTCTGGAGTGGGTGTGACTCTACTGACAACTTGAGCTAAGACAGTGCCACAGAGAACACTGTGAATCCAGGAAGCTCTGCCATGAACACGTGGGCCCACAGTAGCCACAGACTAGACTTCTGGGCACCTAGACTCAAGTCCTACTGCCCTTAGGGATGGACAGGAACAATTACTCAGCATCTCAGATCTTGGTGTCTCCTTCATAAAACAAAATATTCTCATCCTGTTTTCCAGTTTTCAGGGTTAACCGTAGAACACCTGCTGAGCAGCTAGGGCTGACTCAGAGCAAGAATGTAACAAGCTGTCAGTGTGACTTTAGGTCAGATATGGCTATGAAGCACAGTCCAGTGAGATGGGAGTGGGCTCTTCTTTTTTTAATTTTGTAACAAATTCCACTATGTTATTTTTATATTTTATCCATTTTTTAAAATTAGCTAACTAACTTCATTTTTTGAGACAAGATCTGACTCTGTAGGCCAGGCTGGCCTGTGACTCACAGCAATCTTCTAGCCTTGGGCTTCTAAGTGCTGGGATTCCAGACATGAGCCTCCATGCCCAGGTCAGTATTATTTCCATAATAGAAAACTTCAGCATGTTATCACTTCTTCATTTAAATTTTCTATTTCATTTTATTTTTTAATTTTGTGGAGACCTGGTGACAACCTCAAGTGTCATTCCTCTGGCACCATTACCTTGTTTTCTATTTATTTATTTTGTTGTGGGGGGACAGTGTATGTGCCAGGTCAGATGACAATTTTGTGAGAGTCGGTTCTGTCTTTCAACCATGTAGGTCCCAGGAATTGAACCCATATCATGAGGTTTGACAGCAAACACCTGAATCCACGGAGCCATCTCATCGGCCCTGCCTGCTAGCTCTGTGATGCAGCAATTCCAGCGTACACTCCTAGCCCCACTGTTTTTAGTGGACCAGACCTCCCAGGAAGTCAGGCGGACATGTGCATTTTCAGTGAGCCATTCAGACCATACTTCTGCTCTTCGTGCCCCTGATCCTATAGTTTATGCTTTCAGCCTCAGTTCCCCCATCTGGAAAGGCAGGTACTAACACTCTATACATCACAGGACTCAAGGGAGTCAAAGTGAAGCCAGAGTGGAAGCCAGAGTGGTCCCCTCTCCCCTCCAGCCCTGCCACAGATCCTACCTCCCCATCCCCTGGCCCTTTCCCACAAGATGTGCACCACATCTTCAAAGAGAACAGTGGATACCGCCTCACCCTGAGCTCCAGCCTCTGCCAAGGAGCCCTGACTCACCATGGTCCCAATCAATGAATAGATCCGTAACGGACTGAAGCCCACGGTGAGCCAAAATGAACTTGTGTTCCTTTCATTAACTGAGTATTTTGTCACGGTGACAGGAAAAATAACTAACATACAAGGTCTCAGGAAACTCTCAGGGATACAGCACCTCCCTTCCCAGCTGTCACGAGGGCAACAGCACGTCCATCCTTCATGATGCTCCCACTTGTCATAGGCCTATAGCAATAAAGCGAGCTGATCACGGAAACCTCTAAGACAGGGTGCCAAAAAATCCCCCTTCTTGAGGGGAAGAGAAGGAGGGAAGGAGGGAGGGAGGGACGGAGGGAGGGAGGGAGGGAGGAAGTAAGGAAGGAGAAGTAAATCATTGGGAGGGCTGGGGTGTGGCCAGGCAGCACAGTGTTGTTCTAGGACATGCAAGGTCCTAGCAGCCCCCAGCAGCCATCCTCAGCACCACTAAAGTAAGGGAAGACAGAAAGAGGAGGAGAGGGGAGTAGAAGAGAGGAAAATGAGGGAGGGTGGGGGGAAAAGGAGGGGAGGTGCCACTAGGAAAAAGCCGGAAGATGTGGTTTGAAAAAAGCCCTAGATTCCAATGGCCATTCGGGGTCCGTGTTGGCTCTACCAGGCCACAGGGCCCACTCTAGAGGCTCAGAAGAGAGAAAAGCCTGCTTGTTACCCTGTACCAAGATGACAGAGGAGCTGGGAGGCCAGACAGAGATGACTGACAGTTGGTTCAGAAACTCTGGAGCCACTTCTGATCCTGGAGGAAGGGGGTTACCCAGAGGGAACTTGTGACCAGGGTTTGGACCCAGCCATATAGCAGGAGTTGGGCCAACAAAGAAGAGAGGCACACATCATCTGGGCACAGACACAACAGAATGGAGGTAGGGGAAGATGTCCGGTTTCTCCCTTTCTCACTCACTGCCAGTGCTTCCCATTGACTGGACCCAGGGGATGGTGATCGGTCACAGAACAGGACCATGACAGACAGGAGAAGCGAGGGAAATGACCACCGGAGGCTGTTTCAGTACCTCTGTGAGCCCAGGACCTCAGCTGGGGACAGGACTCAAAGGGCCACGGTGTCAAGGGAATTAATCCACCGATGCCCTCCCCTCACCCCGTGCAGGAGTGCTCACAAGGTTAAACCCACCTGCTCCTCAGCCCTGACTCTGACATCACATGTTTGTCCACAGCTGCCAACAGTTTCCGCTCCGAGGATTCCAGCCGCTCCCTGAGCAGCCCCGTGTCCAAGTCTGGGCTGCTGGCTACTTCTGAAAGGCATCCCTGCTCCTGGTCACTCTCCTCCACATCCCGGAACACCCAGCATGTGTCAATCTTCACGTCCACGTTCATCACGTCAAAGCCATCGCTGCTGGGAGCTCTGATGGCATAGCTGAAGCTTTTCTCCGCCATCTGTTCCTGGGCTGTCGGCTCCATCCCCAGGACATTTCATTGGCCCAGAGTTAAGAAAAATGGAATGAGTCTGCAACGTGGATTTTCTGGAAATTTCCAGGTGGCAACCATGCCTTTGGATTGTCTGGTGAAATGTCCTTTGAGGAGAACAAGGACAGGTGGATTATTCATGAGTGGGTAGCTTGGGTTTCATCCACACAAACGTCAGGCAATACGTACGAGCATCTCGTTTTACAAGTTGGCGTGCTAGAACATACCAAAGCTAGAATGGGGCTCAGACCAGTCACCTGGAATTAAACGCTTAGCAATGCACACAAAGAGGAAGAGGGGGTTTTCCAGGGAGTACACATCACTCACAGGTTCTCCAGAGCAAGCAAAGCTCATGCCAGCCACAATGAATGAGGCTCTATGCCGCTGTTTGAGTATAGCACATACTTACCGAGGACCTAAAATCTGCCAGGCAAAGAAGATGGGAAATTAATGCCATGCTGAGAGGTCTCTCACACCTACCTAGTACAGTTGTCCTGGTGACCCTATGAGGTGGGCATCATCATGACCATTTTAGAGATGGTAAAACGGAGACCCCAGAAGGTAGAAGAGCTTTCCAAGCCCTACAGATGGGAAGGAACAGCCAGGTCTGACCCCACACCTGACAGTGCATGTGCTAGCCCAGGAGCTGTGAGGTCAAGTATGGAAGGGAACTGGTCTCTGGGCAGCAGACAAGTCCCTGGGAGCTCAGGGTTGGGGAAGGGATCCAGAGGATAAAAAAGCAGGAATGGCAGGGAGCAGCAGGCAGGCATAGGCAGAGATCCCTGGAGTGAAAGCACACCTCACATCACAGTCAATAGGGTAGAAGTCACTGGCCACATGGCATACAGAGGGGGTCATGCTCACACAGGTGCTCAGGGTTCTTGGGCATTTCACTTCGAGCACAGGGCAGTCACAGTCATTAAGAGACCAGGAGGTGGCTGGTCCAAGGTGACATCAATGGGTTTATAGAGGGAAAGAGCTGAGGCCACCAACCACACCAGGGGCCAGGACTAGGCAGAGAGGTAAAGGGACAGAAGAATGAAAATAACAGACTTTGTTTCCCCAGAAAACAATGAGAGAGGTTTCCGCTCTCATTTCTTAGCGTGTTTTCTCAGAGCTCAGCTGTGTTCGTCTGTGACATAATGCCCCCGGGGCCCCCAAAGGAAACCGTATTTACCCTTCCCTCACCTCTGTGCATTCAACCCCTTGCCATCTCCCAGCCTTTCTCATACAACGGCTTCTTGCCAAAAAGATAGGCATTTATTTTAACCCTTTATATAAATCCACTTAATGAAGCCAGGAGGTTGCCCAGCTAGTGGGTGAACTTGGGGTGAGCCATTCTTGGAAAGGAGCATCCCTGGTCTTGGGGCCCAATGGGGTTTGGCTGGAAGCCATATGTACCCTGTCCTGAGCATCCTGTCTGCTCCCCTCTGCGCTGTTTAGGACATCTCACACTGGCTTCATGCTTTTCAACAATGGACCCAGTGGCTGTCTTTTCTACCTTTGCAAAGAGGCCTTCTGGGCTCCCAATGTCTGGGGAGGGGTGGGGGGGTGGTAAAGGCTGTAGCAGAGTGGGACAGACAGGCAGAATTGGCAATGTGGAACACTGGCCTTAAGGGACAGGAAGATCAACTCAAATCCCGGGTGTGGGCCTGAGTCCTTGGGTTGTTTGAATCCTGTCTTGGGTATGAATCTGGACGAAGTACTGAGCATCTTATAAAAGGATCTCCAGATACTGTGTAAGTACAGGCATCTGCATCCAGTGAGGGAACACATGAGTGGATTCACACAGCCTGCTCAGAGAGCCCACCACGTCCTCAACAGTAAACACCGGCTGGATGTGACAGGTATAGTAATGCTTCCCGGACCAAGCTCTCAGCTGTCTGGGCTGTGATCAGCCTTGTTGCTTAGCTAGCTGCTGCAGGCTACAGGGCAACAGTCCAGCATCTTGCAAAATGACACCGCACACCGTAAACAGTTCATTCCCTCACCATGGGGAGGATTCCCCCCAGTACCTGGCATGTGAGTCCCAGAAACAGTGGCCACACGATGCCACGTGCTGTGGGAAGATGGATGCTAGCTGAAGGCAGCAGAGAATAAGAGACGGGTTCCTGAGAAACAGCCCTCCTTGCCCACACAGGTACATGACAGCTAGCTCTTCTTGGTGGATCACTAAGACTTAGGGGGAGAAGGTAGTGGAGCTGGGGAGATTGAAAGAGAAGTGGCTGTCGGGTAGAGGGCTGGGCCTGTAGCCTTGTTTTCCTTGAGGGAAAAGACTCAAGAGAGTGACTGTAAGGACAGGGCCCAAAGCCTTAGGAGACATGGAGCAGTGGCCACAGAAAGGACACAGGCCATAACTGGAGCACCTGTCTTGAAACATCAGCCCTGAGTTGAAGGGCCAGGGAGGGAGACAGGGGCAGATTCGGGCCGGGAGACCCAGCAGCTTCTGTCAGAGTAGGGCTCTGGACACATGGGCTCGGGTCTGCAGAAACACCTAGGAGTTTTTAGACAATTTAAAAGAGGAAGAAGACACATATTGGTTTGGGGTTTCCTGCTCTATGATGGGAGTCCCTGACCAGGCTGAGGTTAAATATGAGAAATAAAAAAGCAACCCGTTCCTATGGTGCTGGGAGTGCTGAGGTAGAGGGACTCCTGGTAGAAACCTGGCTAAGGAATCCAAGGAAAACAGGGCCATAGAACCCTGACCTTTGGGAAGAAAGACAAGGGGGAAGCAGGCAAAAAACGTTCCAAGGAACAAGGACTTGATCTAGGACCCTCACGCATGCCAGAGCATGCCTAGCCAGGGTAGGAAGCTACTGGGAGAGTCTCAGGCTGGGTGAAAAGCTGAGCTGGGACACAGGCCCCGCCTCCTACACAGCGCATGGTTGGGTGGGGCTCTACACTGTGTTCAGCAAGGGCACTTGAGTGAAAACTTCCCTGTGGCTATCAAGAGACACAAAGTGAAGAGGACCTGACAACCTTAGGGGCACCCTCTGCTTTAAAGCTGGAGCCCCCAGTTCTCAGCTCAGCTGGCCATCCGACCCCAGCTCAGGACTCCTTGCTTAGCCCCCATAGACAGAAGGAGTGACAGAACAGCCCTGACTCCTCAGATTCTCTGTCCTGCTTGGATCACATGCCACTGGCATACAGAAGCAGAACCTTATATTTGTGAACTTCACAGGGAGGGCTATGGACCTCATCCTCCTAGTGGATCTGGGAGGAGGGTCATGGAAAATTCCACATGCCTTCCTGTCTACAGAAGAATGCAGCATTGGCCTTGGAGATTGACTCGGCAGCTCTGCTCCTCTGGAAACCACACAAGTGTTAATCCAAGACAAGAGCCCTGAGACTGTGCCTCACTGGACCCAGATCTGGAAAGAGGAGAACTGTTATCTGCGGTACCATGCAGCTCTGGGGTTCCCTGAGCACTGTGGCTCTTAACCAGATTTGTTCCTAATGGGGACTTGGATAGCAATGTCTACACTAGCGACAAGGAATTCTTGTCCTGGTAGAGACTGGGGCAGCTTGCACACCTGCCTGTGTGAGCTCCATTCTCAGGCATGAGCAGCTTTCTGGGGTGGAAGTGGGTGGACAGCCCCGGCTGGGAGGACCACCCCGTGAGGGACTCAGATGTTTGCTCCTGCCAGCTGCCGTTGGGATGTCAGAGGTCTTGTGGAACGATGCTGGTCCACCTGTCCAGCTGAGGTCACAGAAACTCTTCCAGGAGGCATGGCCTGGGATCTGTAAGTTGTGTTCCTCAGAGTCACAAGAACATGGTCTGTCTGCAGCAGGGACTGAGCTGGGAGTGCCCAGATGGGTCTGACTGCAGAGTTAAGGCCACCATCACATAAGGTGTTGAGTAAAAAAAGCCAAGCAGACATGGACGCTGCCCTCTCCCTCAGAGTAGGTAAGGACAGAAGGTATAAGGACCACACTGCAGCACAGCCTGCAGGGAGGGATTCTAGACAGATGGTTGCAGAGACAGAGTGGGCCACTTCTCCATGACTCTCTGGGAGGCTCCAGGATACCTGACTACAGAAGCCAGTTGAATAGCGCCCCCTGCATCTCCTACCATGGAAAGCAGGAATGCCTTCCATTTTCCTGACTGGTGCCCACATTCCTGCAACTCAATGACTCAGATGTCTCTGTTACCAAAGGTAGGTTCACTGGAATTTAATTAAACCACTGAGTATTGGTAAGTCCCAGGGGCTGGGCTTGTGGGTCATAGATGATTGGGGACTTGGGTTTCAGCAGAGAACCAACACTTCTGAGCCATCCTGGTGTGTTTGCTTCAAGCTTGAGACTTCACATGTGCTTGAACGACCTCCTATCTGGACAGCCCCCTTGTACGCCAAGTACTGTCCTCACTTCTGTGTCTTTGGATATGGCTTCCCTACAATGTCAGATCCCTACTCCATCGTTCTCTAGGTGGATCTGGTCTGACCTCTAGCCATTTCTGTTTGCCTTCAGGAAATCATGGTGCCACTTACTTGGTCCGATAACAAGACAGCAAGAGGTTGCATCCGGCCTGCTGCCACCATGCCACATCTGAACTAATCACATGCTCCCCACACAGACTCACCATCATGTCCTTTCCACTCTGTCAATCTGATGGCTAACATTCTCCCTGCCCCGAGTTTGGGCAAGTATAGCCAAATAGACTGATACTTTTTTGAGGTGACCCACCCTACCTGCTCTAGACTGAAAGAAGCATCCCAGAGCTACTTCTCAGGGAATTTCCTTTGGAAGTCGACTTCCAGCGCCTAGTTTCCAGTGAACCTAGGGTACACCACCCCTGTCCTACCCCCTGTGCTTCTAGGGAGGCTCCGACACTCGGGGTGAAGATGCTACTGTCTACTGAGGATCCTGGGCAGTGAAGGCTCTGTGGCATTTTCTCTATGGTAGAAGGGTACCCCTGGCCTCCTCTCTATGGTATTTTCTCTATGGTATAAGGACACGCTTGGCATCCAAATTCAGAGGCTCTGAGTATTGCTCTAACAGCCTGAGCTCCTTTTTAGGGTGCCCCTACAAATTACAACAGGCATCTTGGGCCGGCTCTCTCAGTCCTCACCACACCCCTGGTCTGAGGCATGGCCATGTTCTGGGACTTATGAAGTATCAAATCTATGAGAGTGTTGGAGCCTTCAGTTTTCCTCAGAAATCTACAATCCACAGGCTCCCACATTGGCAACTCCAACTCTCTCTCTTGCTGGTTACCAGCTGCAAGTCCAGCTGTGCATGGAGTCAAAGGTTTTGTTGGTGGCTCTGGCAGACAGACTCCAGAAGAACACACTCAGTCCATGGAGATTTATATACATAGGGCAGAGGGGGTGTCTGTAATCCATCTAGGCACATACAGCGCCTGCAGGGAGGCACACAGCATGGGGACAGGTCTTGCACCTATCCCCTGAGGCAGCAGCTCTCATGCCCTGGATTTCCGCTAATTGCACTTAAATTCCCGCCATCCAGATCCATCTTTGTCCTTGACTCTTGAAGATGCCACAGTGGGGACACTGAGGAGGATCCCCATTGTCCTTCCCATTGCAGAGTTCCACGGCAGAGGCTGGCCAGGTCCCCAGGTCTCCCCTTTAAGTGACTGTCAAATGTGCATAAGTTCTGTGTTCAGGCTCTGGACTTCGAATAGCTTGTTGCACTGTTGGATTTTGGTTTGAGTGAGGATAGGGCACCACGGGGACTCAGGTGATTCCAAAAGCTCTTTGTCTAACCTGTAAGATTAAGAAATAATTTGAAGTGAAATAAAAATCAAAGGTTAAGAAGAGTGAGGGGGCCCTAGCATATCTTCAAGCCCTGACCTCTCTTGATAGCGGTCCAGAGAATCTTCTCTACAGCCCAGACAGAGGGAGCAGGACTTGGACAGCCCCAGCCCCAGGGCTCCATCATTGGAGCATGGTGTGAGCTGTCTCCTACACCTCAGGCCAACCCTTTACTCTTTCCTACATACAATGACCAGTCACTATGTGCCTGACCATGTCGCAACCTAGGCCCTTGTGGACTAGTGAGAGTCAGGGACATACCTAAGGACATTTGGCAGACCATTTGAGGTCTAGTGGGCCTCAAGGGCACCCTGGAATTCAAGGACCCTCAGCCTAGGTTGTTTTCAAGGTCAAGACTCCAAATTTCAGAGGTTCTGGCAGATGCCAGCCCAAGGATGAGCACCCAGCCCCTGGAGAATGTGGAAAGGCTGAGGTCCCAAAGCAGGAACCAGGGCTGAGAGCTAGGTGTTTGGCTACAAGGGAGCAACAGCCAGGAGCAGATTGTAGGACGCCATCATTCCTAGGGTCTCTGGATATAATCAAGCATCATAACTGGCGTCAGGTTGAGACACAGAGGTGAAGAGCAGAACACTACGGGCTCCTGGACACTGTGTCCACATCAGGATCTGGTCTCACGAGCCACTGGCCTGTCAACCTGCTGCTCCTTGACCCTGGAAAGGCCACTTGTTTTGGATGTGACAGGAGATGTGCACATGGCAAGAGAGCAGGAGCCAAGCTAGGCTGGAGAGAGCTTTGGGAATGAGACATAAAGTCCTCTGTGGATAAACTGCCATGGGACCTGTCTGTCTCAATAAGTCCGGTCATGTGTCTCTACAGCAGGACCCCAGGGACCCAGGACCACACAGCCCCCAAGGATCTGAAGTGGGAGACTCCAGAACAGGGATGCCTTCCGGGCACCTCATCTCCCAGGGAGCAGCACAGCCAGAGGGGAGTCAGCCTCCTCTCTCAATCAGCTTTGCATCAGCCAATGGAAAGAAAAGGATACACACCCGAGTTCTCGGCGCATGGGAGTCGTCAAGGCCACAGAATGAATGCTAGTGAGAAAAACAAAAAAAGGAACAAAAACTATAACATAAGACCAAAAGAAAATGAGGAAAAGAAAAGAAAAGAAAAAAAAAGATGTGAGAGATGTGGTATGGAATTCAGTGACAGCATCTTACAAGAACTACGACACTAGGGGGCAGCAGAGAGATGGACAGAGGGATGTGGTCCAACCCAGGCTGCCAGGTGAGCTCTATGCCATGTGCAGACACTTTGGGGGATAAAGGTAAGGCTGCTAGGGCAACACAAGGGAACATACGTTATATGTTAAGTATGTTACGGTGGGCAGCGACAAGAGAGGCAGAAGGGACAGCCTGCAGTTAAGTGACCCTCCCCTGAGCTATCCATCCCAAGAGTTTTAATATTTAAAACACTGTGTGCCTTTTACCAATCAACTTTAGAAAAAAAACTGCTGGAAAATAACCTTACAAAAACAGTAAAATCATATCAGTTCAAACGAGTTTTTTGTTTGTTTTTGTGTTTGTTTTTCTTAATCTACTCGTGACTTGACCTGTTCAAACAGAATCACCAGTCTTCAGAGGAAACATATCTGTCTGTCATCTGGGAATATTAAAAAATAACTCCCACAAAACAAGGTCATAGTTTCCTATGTTGTTTGTAGAGAAAAGTAGAAATCCAACTAACGACACTGCTTTCTTCTGTTGAATCTCTCAGATGAAGAGCTTTAAGGGGCCTCTGTAATCCTGGAGCCCTTCATGTTCTCTACATGGGGAAACTGAGGCTCAGGAGGAAGAGGGCTTGGTGAGACAACCCAGTGGATTGTGAGTAAGAGTCTGGTCATGGAAGGAGAGACCACTGGCAAGCCACAGTGATGGGACCAGAGTTTCCCATGATCACTAGCTAGCTGGGAGTGACTGGGAGGTCCTACAGGTGACAATTAGGACTATTGGGCACCCCAGGTTGTATGGCCAACCAGTAATCCACCAGTTGGTACAGCCTCTCCTTCTGCATATTTGACCTGTGCCATACCCTCCTGGGAAGACAGAGGTGGAACAGTCCACAAATCAGCTCTGAGAAAGTCTGAGACCAGAAACACAATCCAAGCGACAACCCATGCTTCCCCATGGAAGCATAACCAGTGCACCTGACCAGCCTGAGTTTTGACACTATTGCATATGTATATGTATGTATGTTTGTGTGTATGTGGGCTCACGTGTGTGCAGGTCTGCAGGGCAGAGGATAACTGCAAGTTTCATTCCTTAGGCACTGCCCTCTTTGAATCTTTTGAGCCAGGATATTTCACTGGCCTGGAACTCACCGGTTAGGCCAAACTGTCTGACTATTGAATCCCAGGACTGCCTGTCTCCACCTCCATAGCACTGAGTTTATAACTGCACCATGACACCCAGCCATTTTTCAGTGTGAGTTATGGGAATCAAACACAGTTCCTCACATTCGCAAAGCAAGAACTTACCATCTGAACCATCTCCCAACCCTTCACTTTTTAACATTTTAAATGGCAATAGACTATGTGGACATTTTGTACCAGTTGTTGTCACATCTGGATGGAATGGCAGGTAGAGTTCACTGCCCCCACCCTGTGCCCTCTAATGAACTCCTTGCTACCACCCAGGGCCTCAATTTCAGAGCAATAAGAATCTCCCTACTTATAGCCCCAGATCTCAGGTTGTACTGAGCCCAGCCATGGAAACAAAGTGTCTCAGTTTGTTTGACCTGACATTCCCCCTTAGGATTTCCCAACAGCACTAGAGGGTTGAGGAGGGCTGGGCACCTGCCAAATGGGACTCTAGGATCTAGGACAGTCATACAAAGGGTTCTCCCAGAAGGGACTCAGTAAGATAACCCAGCCACTGCCTAGAAACAGATCTCTGGCACCCCCTGCAGAAACAGTCAGCTATGAATCCAGAAACTCCATACAGGGTGAGATGGTAATTGCCCGCCTTGTCTGAATTCACCTTCTCAGGAAGATAGGAGAGCATACACCTGCCTGCCCCACACGGAGTCTCAAGGGGTGTTCTTTCTCTCTCCCCTCCCCCATATGTATTATTTGACAAAAACCAGGAAGGCTGCCCCACTTAGGAAGAGCCCCAAACTCTAAGTTGCCTTCCACCAACTTGTCCCAGTTTTATACCTGAAGAGTCAAGATCCTTTCAACAAGATGGCCTGGGATGTTTCTGCGCAGAAGTGGCCTT